AAGGGGGTTAATTTTAAAGCATGCAGGGCTAAAATTTTAAAATCAAAATTAGAACTCCTTTTTCTCCCGCGGATAAAACATGGGATGAGGGGGAAAAATCAGTGTAATTTTTTTATACTCACCAATACTGGTGACTAGAAATATTAGTACCTGATACGTTTTTTTATTTATATTTTGATACAAAATTAGCACCTTTCAAGTTTCGTAGTGGCATAGTGATGGTGACAATCTTGAAACTGACCATGTAATAAATTATGCAGGGCAGGGCCAATGGTTCAGTTTCCAACATTTTATTTTTATATGTTCTGATTGTTATCGCTTTGAGGATCATATTGCATATTCTTACTAGTCTTCGATAATACGCCGTCGTGCCGTGAATTGAGAAACAGGTGCGTCTTTCGGTAAATCAATGTTTTTTCACACTCCTCAATGTCATTGCACGCGTTGTTCTCCTAACACCCCTACTTAATATCAAACACTTATTTCAATAATAAAGAGTGCGAATTCGAATTTCCTCAAAAGTGGCCTAGTCCAGGCCCCCCTCCCCCTCCCTTACGTTCACAGTTATGAACTTACTCATTAATATATTTGCACTTCGACATCATCACACATCAATTTTAATTTGTTGACATAGTTCGTTGAGATTTAGGTATAGGTCTGTACCGGACTGATTTCGATGATTGTTCTTGTTTTCGGCAGCCAGCTCCCTTTACATATTTTCTTAGGTTTATTCTTAATTAATGTTGATTGAATAGTTTTTCTGTCTAGAAACTAAAGATTTTGAGTTTTTGTTATACCTTCATCATCCTTGAAATCTATCGGGCCAGTTTTTATGACGATCGGCAAGGACTTCTGGATGAACCCGCTCTCTTAAATATTTTGCAATGTACCAGGGCGTGAAAATGTTTGAGGGCGCGAAGCGTCCCCTCGAGGGTTGGGCCGCGTATCGGCAAACGGCGCATCCCCTGACTGAATAAGCTTCAGTTTAATTATTTATGTTTGAGGGGGGGGGGACTGATATTGCAAATACTACGATAAATTGCCTGGAAAATATCTACAAGAGGGCATAACGATCGCCAGTCGCTGCACCCACGAAAGTTTTAAACATGTGCATCGCGATTTGCAAATCACAGAATTTTCATATTTTCATTCCTAACGATACTTAGGTATTTTTCTCTAAAATTCGGTTGATTCTCATTAAGAAATTTAGATCAGGTGTATTTTTAACATTCAAGGGAAAAACATGTCGGTCGCTTTCGTTTAATGATTGAAAGTGCAATGACAAGTTTGAAATATGTGAGGTGGTTGAAATACCTGTGTGTTCTAGAAAAACTATCGCACGAGAGGTTGCTGCTCTAAAATATTCAATTCGCTGTGGTGAAAATGCTGAGAGAATCGTCCTTTACTCAATGTCCCATGACGAGTGTGTCAGAAACTTCGTGAAAAACCGGAAATGCTAAAAACATGATAACTGGGTATAACAGAGCTCATGTCGAGACAACTTTTATTTGATTCCTGGATTTTTACAGACGGGCCTCGGTTGGAAACTAAAATTCTCGGTAAATCGAAAGTATGTTGATGCCAGGATTTAAACAATCCGCAGAAAAGAGGAAGAAAAGAGGAAAGAAAAGAGAAAAGAACTGTGAGAAAGAAAAGAGGAAAGAAAAGAGGAAAGAACTGTGACTTCATGCCGGTCGCCTTCCGCGTTTGAGGACTGGGTCACCGAACGCGCCGAATCTGGGACTCTTACAACTCGACCGGGTGCGGGACATAAGTCGGGTTCACCGAAGGTCATTCGCACATTGAACCATCACACATTGAATCGACGCCTTCAATTTGTATTGATACAACCCCCGTCATAAACTCATTCTGTTGCTGTTGTGTCCGATGCATTTGAAAATAAAGATCGAAACATGGTTGGAGGGCGGAGAGGGTAGTGATCGGAGGGGCGTTTAACCCCCCCCCCCTCCTGAGGACTTACTGATTTTGAAATCCCACCCATTTTATTCTGGCACGTCCATATATTAGCGCATTCGTAATTTCCAGGGATGTCTTAATAATTCTTGAATATTAGGACGGAATTCTGTCAATTCTGCATCTGGAGTGCGAGAATAGAGTCAATCGAGGAGGCAAGAGGGGCTGGTAGTTCTTCCTTCTAGCTGGGAGAATTCACAATTTTTATGTAATTTTGATTAATTTTAGTGGATTTTTGGACATCTGGTGATATTTACTCCTGCTATCTAAAGATTCTCACCCCTCCATCCCCTTAACATTGAAAATAAACGCGACCTGTAGGCGGCGCACATAAGCGGGATGCAACTATTCGACCATTCCAGTGTGGCACAGTATCACTTGAAATTGAAGGCGAACTTAAAGCACCAACTCAATAGGTCCATTCCTGCAATGGCTAAAGTTGCTGGATTTTAAAATGAAAACAATGACGAACAGAAACAGTCAAAATGACACTGTAGGGACGAGGCTCTGACTGGCCTCGGGTAACATGCCGACACAATGCCCATAAAATTTGGCTCTGATGGTCTTAAATGTAAAACTTAGGTGACCTTGCTGTTTTCTTCCCCGTGGAAAATCGAAAGATACAATTTTGTACAGTTTCAGTACTTAAACGGTTTCTGCGGAATGTTCTGGTTGAACTTTCACGTGCTTTAAAGTGGTGACGACGCGACAGTTTGAGGGACAGCATCAAAACCTATCTGATTTACTGTGTGGAGATTCCGACATACCTACCAGTGTCCTACTCTCCTATCCATAAACGAGAAAAACCGGGACGCATATTTCAATAGGGAACTTCTAGAGTCCAGGGACCACTATTTCTGGCTCGTTTTATAGAAACAGCGTGCGCGCACATTATTTCTCAATACAGATAGGAGCTTCAATGGATAAGCCGCAAATAGTTAGTTCTAAGCTTGTCGTCAAATTTTACCACCGGTTTTGTTATTGCTATTTCACTTTATTCCTTTTTTTCAAAATTCAATGCAACGGCGCTCTGTATTTTCGCAACTTCTACGTGGTGAAGGAAGAATTTACTGTAAAAATGAGGAGGCGCAAGTCTCCCTTCTTCATAGGAATACAGAATACCTACGCGGTAACGTATTTTTAATGACCTCTACCCAAGCCGGAGTTCCTCCCATTTTAATGACCCACCTCCAGTGACATGCGAAACATGCATTAACAGATGCAACGATGCAACAAATCACCCGATTCACCGAAGAGAAAACTTCATTTTGACGGTAAAAATTGCATCTGAAAGTCTGGTTCCAAAATTCGCACACCCCAAGTAGCAGTGATCATCTCTTGTTGTTTCTATCGAATAAATAATTTCTCTTGACAAAAAAAAAAAAAAAAAAAAAAAAAAAAAAAAAAAAAAAAAAAAAGGTAGCAGTGATCGCGATTTATAGCGATTTTATCGGTTGATTATCGCGATTATATCGGTGGAAATTTATCGCAATATTATCGAATAAAAAATTGCGAATAATGACGATTAAATCGCAATGCATCGCAATTTTTTGCTCAATAAAATCGCGATCAATTTCGTCGATAAAATCGAGATTAAATCGCCATATATCCCGATTTTTGTTACGATAATATCGCGATAAATTGCCGGGCGATGAAATCGCAATTTTGTTGCAACAAGATCGAGGATAATCGTTCAGATGTTGATGATCTTAGCGATTTTATAGCCTACAAAATCGCAACAAATCGCGATTTTTCCGTTGAAAAATGCTACTTGGGACTCCGCCATGAAGTTGCCCTCTTCGCGGCCAGATAAGTTTTACGCCCTCGCATGCAAGGATATGCCGGTTAGGATCTTTAATTAAGCTATAGTGATTAGAAAAGACGCATTGTTAATTAAGAACCTACTTGATTATGTAAAGAAGTTGCTCTGGTCCTTTTAAGAGATGAACTGACGAATATGACTTACTTATTTTTGAAAACTCGCGCGCGCCTTGCAAACCAACATCATCTCTTTAAAAGTCCTAGATTTTTCTCTTTGTAAAAAGAAAATTCTATTGAATTTTTTGGCAAGAAATTTGATTTTTATCATTTTGCTTTTACAGAAATTAAAACGAATAAGAAACGGTAATTTTATGAAACTATGCTTCCTGAGTTAGCCACTGAATTATTGTTTCTCTCGGTTATGACATTTCATCAACGATTTTTTGTCCGCGCAGTTTTTTCGGCACGGGAGTTTTGGTCCACGTGCCAGTTGAGACCCAAAGTTAATTGGCCCACATGTAAATACAAACGACAGTTGCTCACGACGTTTTTGGATGGAAATGTAAAATGTCTTGGAAGAATGATGGTTTGCTTGTTTTTTGGTTTTGTCTCTTTGGTCCAACGGAGAATAATATATAGTTGAGAGTTCTGGTAAACATAGGGGAGTGTCAATTCCATGAGACAAAATTCACTAAAACTCTCTATACCTCTTTGGTGTAACAGGACTTAATTATCTTTCAATATTTTCCCACCTTGTTATACCTGAACCGGATAAACCTCTATATTTGCCTCAGCTAAAGGCTCTTAGATTTTTCCAGTGTAAGATAAGTATCTTGATTTATTTTGCGAGGAAAAGTCTGTACTTTTAAAGGATGCCTGTCATTCCTAATACGTTCAATTTCGTATAATACTGTGCTACACCTCTGTTGTGAAATAGTTGCTTCAGGCGCCGCTGCACGGCGGGCGGGCGGCCAGCACGAAACGCGCACTGCGGGGCGATTATTGAAATGATGTCGACTCTATGTCACCGCTTACGGCAAGACATAGCCCTATCTTAACTGTGCAATATATCGCAATTCAATGTGTTATCGGGCTGGTTTAAATTTCAATAATCGGCCCGCTGGCGCCTACAAACCTAAGTGCATTGTGCAGCGAAGTCAATATCTGCATTGTGCAATGCGTGAAGTATCCACTTAGGTTTGTAGGCGCCAAAGAGCCTCTCGCGCTGGCAGCACGCCGCTTCTCCGCTCTCTTAGGCTTCAATATTTATACTCGCATAATCAGCGTTTTTTAACTCAGGATTTTGAAATGTTTGCACACTCTGCATTGATTATTCTCATTTAAATTGATGGGAAAAAAATATGTATCAATTTATCAAAGGAGAATAATAATATAAGTAATGTGTGTTTTTTAAATATTGGTGGTTCCGTGTCAAATTTAATGATTTCCAAAGCACTTTAATTTTTTCTTTTACATTTTGTGCTTTTATTGTGCTGCAGCGAGGTGTGCGCGCAACCAAACGCTCAAAGTTTGACGTATTTGACTCTAAAAGATCGATGTACAAATCGACGGTGAAACTACCAAACCACGTATCTCGGTTTGCGACGTCGCAGACTTCCTGTCATACATTATTTTTTAAAAGAAAAACTACTTAACGTCCAGTCTTGAAAATTTCTGTGATTTTTCCTCTTCGTGCGGAAAAAATTCTGTGAAAATTTTAAGGAATGGTATTGATTTGGTCTACTTCAAAAAAATAAAATGTGAGCGTAGATTTTTAAACACCGCAAACGAGATACAAAGGTTTGGTAGTTTCACCGTCGAAATGGGTTATAACTAAGATTGCGTGCTTCTTGGTTTTTTCCCCTCTTTTGATCATTTTTGCAGTTTCTGTCGGCACAACTGCGGCTTATTGAGATTAATAATGTCGCTTGGAAAAGGTTTTAGAAATGTTTGTCACGTTTTAAAAATATAAATGTTTTCCAAATGAAGTAATAATTTCGTAAAGAAAAAATGAAAAAAAGTACCTATACATATATAAGGTATATTGTACCTCGAATATTTTAAGGATAGACTAAATAAAACCAAATATTCACCAATGACAATTTAAAAAGATGATTCAAGAGAAGAAAGTAATAACATTTCATTTAGAAAATGAGCAACCAATCAACCATAACAACACCTCCTTCTCTCTCAATTTCTCATTTCCAAGTTGTCAATATAATTTTACATACCGACTAAAATATAACGCTTGGACCAAATCACCATTGCGTTGCTTATTTTACGTGCGGGCGTAAACTATCGGACAAAAAGGTGCGCGGACAAAAAATCGTTGACAAAATGTCCTGAAACCTTTCTCTCAGCGCATTTGCTTTAAAAACATAAAAAAAATGACAACGATGTGATTTGACACTAACAAGTATTATGTAACTACATGAAAAGTCATTTTTGTCCAAGAAAATAGCTCGTCGTAAAAATTCGAACTTCAAGTCAAAAAATATCCCCTGTTACTGAGTTTCACAAAAATCCGACGAACCTAGAAGCCGCATGTCGTAGGATTAGTAGGTTGGACTCTGCACAACAGTAGGTAAACGATACCAGTCAATTTACTGAAGTTAGTGCGCCTGCATTTCCGTCTGATACTGTGCAATACTTCTGTGGCGGAATAGTTGCTCAGAACGCCTTCAAGAGTGTGGCTTCGACTTGATGGCAGAAGATCACAATTTCCGCTGAAATCACACTCTTAGAGCGCGCGCGCAGTCACACATTTTCTCATCACCGACGGTGAGATAAAAAACATTCATAAACCTCAATTTGCGACGCTAAATACATAGCATAAATTCAGAGCGGCTCTCTCTACTTTCATGACGATAACTCATTTGCTGACAATATCTTTAGGAAGAACATGGTTTAAATGTTTTATCTAATTTTTAGAACTATGGAAATTTTACTGGGGAGCGTTTTGAGATGTAAACCCTCTGTAGATCCAAGCTAATACATACTTAAAATGCATACTTAATATATAAATTAATAAAATGCATTTATCTCTCTTTTGTTGAATAGTAACTTTATTGGCTTGCCTACAAAGCTGCATTACACTACCGCGGCGAAATCTAGAGGGTCATTTCATTGGAGAGGGAAGCAATGACCTCGCAACATCAATTCTGAAGGTGAGATTGGAAGATGCTGATGATTAGTAAGAAAACAGCTTTCTTTGACTTTGTTATATAAAATGACTTCTTTGCTCTTAAAGCTTGTTTTGTTAGTTTTTAAAATTGAATTAACTGGCCCATCGTAATCACTGTGTTCAGTACAATACCTACAGCTCATTGGACAAAAATTATAGGTTTAGAGAACATGTTTTTCCAAACAATAACGCAGAATGATATAATCTATTGTAAAATCATAACATATACTTCCATTATTTAATTCTTTGGGTCACTTTTATATTACCTGTTTGGCTCGTCGAATTTTCCTAAACTGCTAATACAACTAGTTGTAACAGCTCAATGGCCTGAATTTTAACAACAGATGACAAGGTTAATTTGTCCCACAAAGACTGACCGTTGAAGAGGTCTGGGGGGAGGGGGGGAGGAGGAGATAGAAAATAGCTTCAAACATGGGTATAAAGTCAGATGTTTGAAGGCAGCATGACAAAAATCCACTAGTTGAAAAATATCTTAACATGTTAGGTTCACAAAGGTAAGTATAAGAATTTCAAAATAAAAAAACTAAAATACCTCAATATTTACAATGTTTACATTTTTCAGGGTTACGAGCATGACACCTCAAATTTTGTGTTTTCACCACTTGGCTACTCAACGATTTTAGCAATTTTAGCTGAGGGTGCAGTAGGAAAAACTAGAGAAGAAATAATATCCACTCTGAAATTCCCAGTAGATAACACAGTGGTTCGAGAGACTTTTAAAACTGTCCTACAGCGAATGACCGTGAGTGATCAACCTCTTTTTTAATTTAGATAAAATTTCAAATCCAATAAATTTTATTAGATGATTATTTTAATGGGTAAGTAATCTGATCAATTTTACGGAAAAGCCTACCAACTAAGAAAGGAGGCAGCAAATGTACAAATATTACCTGGTGATGACACATTTAAAAAGAAACGTTTCAAAATTAATAGTTACTTTCTCATTGATCATTACCGATTAATTGATATACAAAAAAGTTCACAAAATCAAACCACCTTATTTCTTTGCTGTTTTTCAGCAGGCTTCAATTTTGAAAACAAGAAAAGTGCTTATCTCAATTCTGCAAAGGGCACCAAACAGCCTTTGTTTTTATTTTAACCCAAAAATACTCTTAGGTAATAAAGATAAAATTCAGATTGAGGCATGAAAATTTTCAGATCTGCTGTCCTTGAAAAGATTACAAATGCGAGACCTGAGACAACATCACCATAAACTTGGGTAAACCAAAAATGATTAGATATGTATCGAAAAATACCAACAAAAAACTCAACATTTTTATAGATGCAGTCCTTATTATCAAAAATTGCGGGAATAGGTCCCCTCTCTTCTCACATATACATTTTTTCTATTGTGAATTTATTCTGGAAGTTTTAGACTTTATTGATGGTGGGAGTCTAGGAACATGTATCTCTACATTGGAGATTTCTTTTTACATTTTACTTTTTCAAAACAAAACTGAAGATGAATACATACACTATTGCTGATAATACCTGCATCTTGGAATTTTTATGGACTTTTCTTTATCCTATACAAATTATTCTGTGAGATGTTCAAAAAAATAATGTCCTTCAAAATATAAACAACAGCAAGAATTTAAAAAAAAATCATTTGGAAAACCTGCTTGTTTTTTCCTTTTTTAGTTTCATACCTAAAACACATAAACATTTAGGAAAAGCGAAATAAAATACTAGTGAATGTTGTTAACTTTTTCTCCCTTCTTTTTAATAAAAATGATGATTGAACTATCGAATTTCAGGACAAAGAGACTTTAAACAAGCCTGAATTCAAGACCTACTTCTACATCTACAAGAATATATCAGTCCATGATGAATACAGGAAGGTATTGTTGGAGAACTATCTGACAGAGGTCAAGAGTGTTGAACGACCAGAAGAGGAGGGAACAATAGAAATTTCTTACGAAAGCAGCACAGAAACATCAGAAGGTTGTCTATTCTTTCGCTCTACTTGGAATGCTCTGTAGTTTTCCTGATTTTTTGCCTAAATTTTTTTTCGATTACAGCATTCTGCGACAGATTTGATTCCTAATGTTTAACCCAATTTATGATTTCATTTAATGAATTTTCATAGAAAGAATTCTCAGTTCACTACGTTTTATTGACCTCTCTGTCTGGCTTATTCTTTAAACTCTTAACTACCACAGTTTCTAATTTATAATACGAATACTTGATTGCTTTTGAAGCAACTTTTTTTTATTTAAAATTCACTTTCAATATTTTGTCAAGTACTAAAATTAAAGTGAGTGACCCCAAGGGTTTGATGAGAGTTGAAAACTCTCACAAGCGAGTCATTGAAAATTATTGGATATAATAACAACAGTGAAACTACCAGACCACGTATCTCAGTTTGTGATGTTGGAGACCTCCTGTGACATTTTATTTTTTGAAAAGAAAACTGCTCAACGTCAATTCTTTAAAACCTTCATGACTTTCCTTCTCTGTGCGAAGAAATTTCTGTGGAAAAATCAAGAAATGATGTTGATTTGTTCTCCGTCAAAAATACAAAATGGGAGCAGAGATTTTAAAATACCGCAATTAAAATGTGATTTGGGAATTTCATCATTGATTTGCCATTAAAGGAGCTTTGGACTTGGAAACAAAAAAATTTTTACCCCCTCTGGCCATCTTATGCTAATTGAAAATGAAATATTTAGGAAGTTCGGGCGACGAGGACTTACTGGCTGAAGACAAAAGGCACAGTACAACTCTCTACCCACTCCTCCCTCAGGAGACCACTACAGAAAAGGAACAAGCACAACAAGAGAAATTACATTCACGATCTGAGGTTGTACATCCCCAACCAGAGAAAGAATCTGAGAAAATAATTAAGAAACAGGTGCAACCAGAGGATGAGATAAAAGAAAAAGTTGATGCAGCAAGGCGAGCGGAAAATGAGCGAATTCTCAGGTTGGCAAAAAAATTCTTGGGAATCAACTTGCGTCAGAAGAGGTTTAGCCAACCACAAGAGTTGATGGGCATCTCTGCTAACCAACTTGGTAGCAAGAATGGCAATGGTAAGTATACATAATTTGCTTTGATAACCTCTTTTTACAGGGTAAACGATGAAGAGGGAAGATACAAACTGAATGTGGTTCCATTTTCTGAAACGTGCTGTATTGTTTGAAGCCAGAGATTTGTTCAATTCTCTCTCTTTTTAACAACACCTGTTAGAACAAAAATTTTCCTATGACAAAGAAATCGTCCAGCCCCTTAAACTTCCTAATAATCACAGTGCCGCTTGTTATAAGGAAATTGTTGTTATAGGATGAAAAATTGTTCAACCCATTGCTGATTCGTCATAGAGAGTGGGTGCTATGTTTAAATATAAGACGACCAGCACGTTAACAATTTTGAAGGTATGACTTTATATGTCCTTCTGTGCTCATAATAAGACTTAGACTATCATTGATGGAAAATCAATGCCGATCTAAAAAAATCTTAAGCACGGTAGCAGGCCAAAAATTTTAGCTTGACATTTATACACACTTGCTTATTCCCATCGCCACTGGTGAATGCTATCGATGAATACAGATGCCTGCTGCAGAAGCAACAGGATTTACAAATGAATAAGGAATTAGGAATATTGCTTCATTTAAACTGTTTGCAGCTTTAAAAATAATATTTTGAAGATTGGTCACTTCAAAAAAAAATAATAGAATCATCGTAAAAAATAGACAAAGATTGCAGCAATATTTAGCATTACTCATTTTACTGTAAAGTAATTCTTGTCATGAAGATAAAGCAAACATAACTGGGCTAAGATGCATTACGATGCACCGATGCTAAATCCAAACGATTTTCTTTTTCAGATATTCAGTCAAAAATGATAGTTTTCAACGGTCTTTACTTCAAGGGGTCTTTTGTGACACCTTTCCAAACGACTAAGAATCAAACTGATGGTGTTTTTTATACAAGTGAGAAGGAGAAACTACCAGCTGAAATGATGAACGCATTAGGAAACTTCCAGTATGGAGAATTAACAGATTTAGATGCTAAGGCTATTGAGCTACCGTATGAGGTAAGTCATTGTGATACAAAGTTGAAGCAACGAAACTGCAACGAGTGCTCATTGATGCAGGGGAATCTATTTTTTTCATAAAATTGTAAAAATAAGTGCTGTTACTAAATTGAAGGGATCTTGCTCTTGCGGAAATTTTGCAACTTAATTGTTAAATTAATTGTTTTAACTGGGTAATATCTTGGAATTTTGAGCCATTTGCTAAGAAAATGCGGCATAGAATTTGCTCAGTATTGGTCTGAAGAAAATTTAAAAGATAAATCCAAGCTATGAAGATGGAAGAGCACCAAAATTGAGTTGCTGGAACAAATTACAAAAATAAAATCGAAAAAAGCGGAGTAAAATCTTAAAAATAGGTTATTCTTGCGGACTTCTCAGTGCTCATTCCAACATCAACATTTTTTTATGAATTTCCTTCAGCTGAATACCAACACAAGAAAATATTGGAGTGCCAGCAGCTTTAAGTTTTCAATAGGTACAAAGTATGTCATAAGCACATATTTAAAAGTTATTTCATGGCTCTAAAAGATTTTTAATTTTTTATCTGACTGACAAACATATATAAATATTGATTTAATGATTCTTTTCAGGGAGGTCGATATTCTCTACTCATACTTTTACCAAGGACTCGAGGAGGGCTTTCAAAGTTAGTTGCAGATTTGTCAGGCTATTCTCTTCGAAATCTGCACAAACAAATGTCCGTACAACCTGTCTCCGTGCGGCTACCTAAGTTTGATTTTAGAGCAATAAGCAAACCAGTCAGTATTTTAAAAAAGGTACGCTTTATGTTATTTAGATTATTTTCGAAAAAAATACCTCAACCTTCCTTCTTCCTTTGCTCGTTACAATTCTAAGGACTAATTGTACTGAAATCGACAAAAACATTTTGCAGAAAGAAACGTGACTACTTACTTCCTACTACTTGAGTGTGCTATATCTTTGGTTGAGAGGAATTTGAAGTTTTTTGGCTTGCAATGTTTGCTTTTGAAAATCTCAACTCTTAAAAATCATGATATCAAAAATTCTCGAACTTTTTTTTCAACAAAATATTGTGAACAAAACGACTGCCACACATAACTTTGAATAGGTGCAAATCGTTTTTGTCACATCCCTGTCACCAAAAATTGAGAGAATTATCTGAGAGGAGGAGTTAATTTTTCCCATTTCTTCTATTTTGGAATTGTCGAGCTTATATAGCATTTTTGTTATCTTTCAGAGTGGGATATCTTCAATTTTCTCGACTGATGCTGATTTATCAAGATTGTCACCAGACGAAGGCCTATTTTTGAATGAGCTGGTGCAACTGGTAACTATAAAAGTGGACGAGGACTCATCATCTACTAACTTACTTACAGGTAAGTAAAATATAGTTTTATTTCTGTAAAATAGAAGGGGTGGATATATTTCTTCAATCCACTTGGCTACAGAGCAATTCTTCCCTTGAAATACCCTGCAATATTTTGAGCTAACTGTAAGATCCTGAGTATTTATCCGTAAGAGTTTCTGAATGAGCGTAACTAATTTCATAATAAAGTATTTGCTCTCTATACCAAAACTTTAAAGAGACTTAAATACATCTCTGAATTTAGAAAAATCACAAAGTACAAAACTACTTGTGTCATTTTAAAAAAAGGATTTAGGGTCTCTTAATCTTAAGAGACACAGAAGAGAGAATTAATACAACAAGCTCTGAAGTTGGAAATGTCCAGCTAAAATTTTTCGTAAGCGAGATTAATTTTACCTGGAATCCTTGAAACTTTTTCCTGTGTTGAATAAAGTATACCAATAATTAATTTTAATACTGGGACTATCAAGCACAAAAAATTGATTCAGCGGTGGAATTAAAGTAATCGTTATCCCTTTTTCTGTTCCAGCATCTGCTTTGTCTTTGCGATCAATTTACTCTGTTAAATTCTATGCGGATCACCCATTCTTGTTCTTCTTAAGAGATCATCAAGAGAACATTATCATCTCTGCGGGAAAAATCGCAAACCCCTCCGAAAGGTACAAAAACTGAAGGATTACTGAAAAAAGTTAAGAAATGTTTACGCCAGACACCGCCAATAACGTTCAAATGTCCGTTTGTAGAAGTAATCACTAGATTAAACTTGACAAAAATCAAACTTTACTTTATATTTTAGACTAGTTGTTGTATAATAAAGAAAAGTATTGTGATCTCAAATACATCAAATTTCAAAAAATAAAAGTTCCACTTGAAAAAAAAATTTCCTGTTACATGGGTACTTCCTGCCTTCTGATCCCTCTTCATTTTAGGTTGAGAGTTCATTTACGAAAAAAAGTTTGATTATTATGAAGACACATTCATAGCTGTGGGTTTTCCAAATGTAAAACATAATATTCTCTTTTAAAGTCCTTTAATTTGCATTTGAGAACAATCACGTACACACTTCAAGACAATACACATTTTATGAAAATAAAAAATGGTGATAAAAACACGTACTTTGGCCAGCTCAGAGGTAGAATAAAAATATGCACAATAAAAACTTTTGATGAAAAGTGGCCACTTAAGTTCAAAAAATCTAAAGGCAGACTTTTGATTTCACCTAACAATTCCTTAGTTCTATTGAAATTCCTGAAGGCAAATTCTTTTCTTGATTACCGACTAATTTCAAGGTAAAGGACCACTAGACAAGGTACGAATTGAAGCAATCTGATACATGTTTCTTCACCAGAATTTCACGTAAAACACGAGTCACGCAACGAAAATTACTGAAACCAACTCCTAACGGAGATATTAACATTTTTATTTCACATTGGTTACCAGGAATTTAAACTGCCAGCTCACAAGAAACTCAAAGCTCTACGTGAGCCAAATCACGCACTATACAACGGTTTCAGCAAGCTTCTCAATCGAGCGATGTTCATTTCCCACCATGTATTTTTCAAACTATAAGTAATTTGCTATAGCTGAACCAAAGCGTCAAGATTGAGGTTGCCAGATTTTTTTATCGCAGAGACGTTCATGATAACGTTTAGCGCGCGATGTGAATCACGTAGAGCATTGAGTTTTCATGAGCGGGTGGTTTCAATTCAAGCGCCAAGAATCATTAAATATCTTCGGAGGGAGTTGATTTCGGTAATTTTCGTAGTGCGCATCGTGTTTTACGTGAAATTTTGGTGAAGAAACATGTATCATAATGCTGAAATTCGTACTTTGTCTAGTGGTCCAATATTCGATTAAAATTGAATAAAAGGTATAATAAAAGTGTTCTTGATCGACTAATGGAAAATGTCTGTAATATTTTCTCTTGATCATGTTTGAAAAAAAGAGATTTGTTTCAATTTCGGAGAAAAAAGTTTTTTCTTTACTCTCGATTGCATACTGAGTTGACGGGTTAATTCTCAAAAAAGAAAATTGAAATAAAAACAAAAGCTGTAAATCTTATTCAGCTACCAGGCCCAATAGAAAAAAATAAAAACAAAACAAAAATCAACAAAACAAAAAATGCAAACGATTCAAACTGCTCTACTTTCGTTGGAGCGAATCGTGAAAATAAATTATTTTCATCACAGATTATATTCACATTTAAGACTTAGGCTTGAAGTTCAAGCAATTAGAGCTATTAAAGTTGAAATTCTGAAAGCCACTGGGTAGCGCTTATGAGTATGAATGGGAAATTCAGACCAGTTATTGAGTAGGGCTTGGGAGCCAGTTTCAAGGTGAGGTCTGTGTGAGGAATAATATCATACTGTGATCTCATTACTCAAGTGTACCAAATTCATGACCCTACTTCACATTTACTATTTCACAAATTTCACTGATATTTATGGTTGCACTTAAGTCTACTTCACAGTTTGATACTGCAATTTCCAAAACAAATCAAACAGACCTGCCCGAATCTAACATTACCTATGATTAAAAGTTTACCTTCCAGACAAAAAAACAGCTTCACAAAACTTGGATTTGAGTTTCCAAGAAAGAGGAAAAGACCTGATTCTGTCAAGCTTTGGGTACAAACTTATGAGGCAATATGCTCTCAAGTTTTCTGCTCCAGCAAGCGAAGAATTAAATAAAACCAGATTACACATTCTCCCTTTAAATCCAAGCAAACACAATGCTGACAACTCAAACTTAAAAGCAGACTCTTAAAATTGTGGATACAAATCAGAATCATCAATGTTACATTGTTCGAGATTGATTACCAACTTTTCCACAATTTTCTTTTCTTTTATAGTTTGCATGCAAAACTTTCAAAATAATGCTTCAATTCATGACTTGTCAAGTCTTCTCTGCGCAAGACAAACTGATTGCCCAGAGCCCCCAATAATTTTACTGAGTATTCGAAAAAAGAAAAAAATTCTGTCTCAGGCTGAACAACTCATCTCTGGACTGCGTATGAGATACAGCTGAACTTTATGATTATTGATAATGAATACTCCTACAATCTTAGCTTTCTTACATGCAAACCCAGTGATCCTGAAGAGGATGAGTACACTGAAAATAAAAATGCACAACCAGATTGTTTCTTTGATGCTCACGGCTTGGTATTGTATAATCTTTATCATACCTTGGAGGAGTCAATAGCAAAAATTTGCTAAAAATGATGGAAGTAAAAAAATACTTGGGAAATATAAACGCCTCCATCCATAGAAAAGTGGAGAGGTCACATGGGTTGTAGCGCTCAAGTCTCTTCCAGTTCGTTATGCAAATAGGTCCAGAGGTAAGAGTGATTCCGTAAAATATTTGAAATCTGAGCCATCCTAAAACAAAATAAAATGACTGTTGAAACTATATGAAGGTGCCCTGTTTAATTAAGTTTACTTTAAGAGACTTTCCAGAACAAGAGAATACAAACATTTGCGAACATTATTTAGGGAAAATTTTACAATGCCTTTGAATGAACATTTTTCGATAAAGAATGGAAAAAGTCTATAACTTAAAAACTTTACGCCTGTCGCTTCAAAATTTTATAATTATGACAAAATGCAAGGCTGATGATAGGTAAAACAACTTTTCAAACTAGTTCCCATTTTTAATTTTTTTCTCTCAGTTTAAATTGTTAGAATTTTCAACTGTTACTCGTTTGAACTTAATCTTTGTAACTCTCCTCATATTGTTTGCTTGGAAAGTTTTGGAAGAAATAAATCGGTTAACAGCTAATGATTAAGTTGAGTATCACCAGAATGATGATAACGAATAATTAGGCTTGGAAAAAAAATCTCAGAGGCTACGTTTTCTAAAAAGATTGAATTTTTTCTTGGAAACAGTATTTAGAGATGTGGACCTCATAAGAAATTTTAACTGGGGGCAAACCGGCAAACCCCTACCTCCAAAAAATTTTTAATGTCACTGATAGGGGAACACAAACGTAATACTTTGCTTCTGTTTTAAATTTTCAAATAAATCATCATGAGAAAAAGGACACCAAACAATAAATATTGAGAAAACTCACGGAATTACGACTTCTTGGATTAAAATGATGGAGGTGCAATAATGCAATAATGGAGGTTGACTCTTTAGAGCTAACATCTACTTTTATGGGAAAATGGGTCATTGAGGAAGGGATCATTAAGGGTTCTTGTACAAAGGTCAATAATTGGTTCTTCGAAAAATAAAACTAATAAAAAACAGGGTTTCCAGTACGTAGTTCCAAGGACATCTGTCCTAATTTTGGCAAATGGAGGCATTAAAAATTTTACTGATCTATATTGTGATTTGAATCCAAAAGAAATAAGGTGAATTCACTTGTTGTGCCAAAGAAAATTAGTGCATTCATTTGAATTTATACATACTCACTTCTACTGTTACGAATTACTACTATTGCCCAACTAGCTCAGTTTCTGCTGGCGCAACAACATTTCTTCTATTTCTTGTACGCCAATTGCTGATGGGCATTTCAATGCATTTGCATTTGCAAACAGAGAGCACCCTTGATTTTATCCAGCTCAACAAAGCCTACGAGAGAAAATTAACAGTTAGTGAGAGGTTTACTTTTTTTTCTGAGACTGTTTCCCTCCTTTGCAGAATGTAATAAAATTATAAACCATTCCGAAAAATTGCAATTTTGAAGCCCAATTTATTCACAGATAACCCTGTTTTAGTTCCCTTTATCACTGGAAACCCTGTTCTTTTTTGCTTCCTATTATCGAGATTAGTTTTGCATTTTTAATGACAGGAAGTGAAAGTCAGAAATTATCCACAGATGCTGTCGCATTCCATATTGAAAAACCTTCATTAAAAAAAGGCTCACCTTTTTAAAGGGGACGAAAATTTTTTTTAACTCCAATAATTTCATACTTCAAAAAAATTTCTTGACACACTCTATGCTTACTGAAATTCAAAAATTAATCGAATTGTGCGTTATGAAACCGTTCCAGACATACATTCTGCCATGCTAGGGAAGACCGCCATATGAACATACTAGAGTTGCTAAAATTCCCTCAATAAAAAACATATTTTGGATGACATTCATGCACATTTTTCTTTGAAATTTTTAGATATTTTAGGTTCAATTGCGTACAAAACTGTCTGAACATTTTGAGAAAAAATATTCATCATTTTCCCTGTAAATTCGGTTTTTATCGAAGGAAATTTGGAAACGTCTAAAGGTTCATACGGCGTTCTTCCTCAGCACGGCAGTGTTACTCTACACTGCTTCAATCCTGAAATAAGAGTTAGATAAAAAATTCATTTCTGACTTTCACCCATTATTAAAAGTACAAGACTGTTTTTACTCGAATCAAACAAATTGAGATGGAAAGCTAAGATAACACAGAAAAGACCAGTGACAAAAAAGGAATCAAATATACTAACGAAAAACGATAATTGCCAGACTTTACCCGCGCATAGTACACGGACGACAGGACGAAAACTACACCAATTGCAACAACTGTTAGTCTTCGCATCCACGGTGTATTCGGAGCTTTTGGTCTTAGTCTCCTTTCCCTGAGAGCCTTCCTTTCAAGATCCTCAAGTCTCTGTCTTTCCTCCCTGCGAATAAAGACAAACGGAAATTAAAGAAAACATTCTTGGAGGCAACTTTTCAATCAGGCCATAAAATCGTACAACTTGATGAGACAAACATACAGGCTAAAAACCTGCTGTTATCCCTCAATCACTTTGAAATATGAGTTGTTCCAGTTACTTCTACAGATCATCCCGTGTAAAAAAGTCCTTGACCCCACCCCCTTACCCCTTTCTAATTCTCACCACAGAAAAGTTCTGATCAGTTTCGTTCCAAATTTAACGTTTATTTACCCTGTCTAAAGGATGATATTATGACATGAAGCTAGAAAATTGCACGTTCTTACTTTTTATTACATTGGGTAGTATTCCTTCAAGCACTATCCGTTACATTAAATTTAAAGAATTACAGAAATCGGAAGAAAATGAGTTGATAGAATTCTTAAACAATTTCAGATGCACATTTTAGTTGATTTTTGTGAAAAATGAGTGATGACTTTTATCTCAAAAAACTTCAGAAACTTCTCAAATTTTTTGCCCATGAATGAAAACCTTTCTTTCATCTCCGTAGCTTTTACAATCTTTTCTTATTTTCTAATGTTCTGGGGAGGCATTCAATTGAACTTCAACCCTGTTTTGTACCTTCCCTGAACAAAAATTAATTAAAATTAACAGCTTGAAAAACCACTCACTATTTTCGTTTAAAGAAAAAAAGAAAGATAGATAGATAAAGCAGAACCACCCCAGCTGATGGTATGGCTTGATGTGCTTGGTTCCCAAAATTGGTTATCCAAGCAAATAACCGCTTTGTGTATCTGGAAAGGATAGGGAAAGGATAGGAAAAGGATAGGAAAAGGATAGGAAAAGGGTGCACACTTATGAGGGAAGACAGACAGATTTATTGAAGTAGAGGTGTTAAAATAGGAAAATCCTAAAATATTAAAGACAAAATGTAGTAGAGAAAGGACAGTATCGTGTTCTCCTTGTGAGTAAACTGGTAAGTTTTAGAAGAAATTCCTTGAATATGTACTTGTTGGTGCAAAACTTGTTTGCTGATTCAAACAATATTTTTCTCCCCTTAAAACACTTCACTGATATATCATGCTGAAGTATCACTTCTCTTCATCTTCACTTGTTTATTGTGCTCTTAAAATTTGAGACAAAAATAAAGGGTTATCATAGGAAGGCAAATATTGGAAGAGATGAACTGAGGAGAATATAACAAAAACTTTGTAAGAGGTGAAAAATTGACGATGGGCCAGTAGAAAAAGTAATACATTAGGTACTAAAGCAAATTCCACATCAAAATTTTAAGGTAAAACAAAGTGGACACATCAATAAAGTCCAAATATAATTTTTATATGAGAGACCATCATGGGAAAGGAAGGGCAGAAAACATAGGGATAGTAGTAGCATCATTCAGTTAAGCTACTATAGTAAAAACAAACTGAAATGCAAAAACTCAAAGAAATGAGCCACCAGATAAGGTATTAATTAAGGAATAAAGTTATATGTTTCCCCTTCAAAATTTTAAGGAGGAGACAATTCATACAGTGGAAAGTTTGGACATCAACATAGGCCACATGGTAATGTGTGCACTGAAAACTGATATTAATTTTCAACAATTATATTTTCTTCATAAGTTTATCTCCAAACTTTTCCTTATGTGAATCATTCTCAACAAAAGAATTGGAAGGGAAAGCGTTTACGGAGTGCTCTACTTCGTACTATGCCTAGTGCCCCACTTAAAGAGGGAAATCAAATTATGCTATTAAAATACAGATATGACAAATAGTGTGGCGATGTTGATTCTTATTTCATACTAAACAGAAAAGACTTACTTATCCTTGATGCGCTTTTCGACAGCTTTTTTCATACTCTCTGGGGGGTAGCTGTGGTAGTACCTGTCAGCTTTTTTCAACAACATTTCAAAATCAAGTGTGTCCAAGGGCTGAAAGAAACAAGTAGTCAAAAAATCAGAAAAAGATACTACAAGAGACCTGAGTACTAAAAATAATTAAATCCTGTTTGGACAAACAAAATTTTCAATGGGAAAGGTTTCAGAACTTTGCCAGGCTTGGTTTCTACTGCACATCAGTCCTAATTGATACACAAATGAAGCATCGATGGTGCCATCAAACGTTCAAAACAGAGCAAATTGATTTAAGTAAGTTTTGAGCGTCCCTCCGAGCAGTTAGTTATTTTAAATTTTAGGATCAACCACTGCCTGACAACCTTATTTATCTAAAACTATGGTAAAAACAAAGATTCTGAACTTCTGATTACCTCTAAGATAAATATTTTGGGGTTTTTTTCAAATTCTTGCAATAGTGTAAGAGAAAAAGTCAGGGGAAAACTTACCCTGTAGAAGAATGAATGCAGAGCCGCCATTTCACATTCTTGTTCTAAAATATCGTCTTTCCAATGCTCCAAAATCGAGACTATCAAGTACAATGGCAACAGGAATTCAGTTCCAGGCTTATGATCATAGGCAAGGAAGTAGTCAAACAGGCGCATTAATGTCTCGTACACTTCTATTGTGTGACTGAACCATGTTATGAACCATGGTAGACAGAAAATGGTCCCCACACCAGATCTAGAACATCCAAGTAAATGATTCAACAACTAAAGGGACAAGATGGAAAAAAATTATCCCTACATATGAGGACACCCATGTAACAATAGCGGTTGCTGACATCCGCTATCTTTAAGGCGAACGCTATTTTCGAATTCTGGAGCCCTTAAGAATGCCTGTGCAAAGTTTCAGACTTCCAGCGTAATTTTTCGGCGAGATATGAACTGAAAACCATGTTATTTGTAAAAACAGCAGATATGAGAATCCACTGTTTTCAGTGTTCTTCCCGGCTGGCGCGGCAGGACATCGCGAAGATTCTAATGCATTTAAGATAACTGCCCACGCACAATCAAACGACATTACGTCCGAGTTTAAAGAATCATACAACACCTATACAATATTCACGTTCTCTCAAGATCTAGTACAGAATCTGTTGATTTTTCTGATTCTTATAGGTATTTTTGCCTATTTGTCTAAACTTGGAACGGAGCATTCATTACTGAAATAATTATAAGAGGATTGTTTTTCCCTGGTTTCCAATGGAAGGGGAATTGGTGCTGCAGGTCTATTTAACACCCTTATCCCAGGTAATTTTACTGAGGCTCATTGAAAGATTACGACCTCTTAGAAAAAAAATGTAAGAGAATGAAAACTCACCTGTCTAAGTGCTTGCACAAATCAAGGTCTATTTTTTCTAGTATTGGATAAATATATTCTAGGAGACTGCTGGTTCTCTCCATCGTTGGCTCTAGGAATGGTTTTAAATGCTCTGTTGAAATTTTTTCAATAATGTGGCCTGCCATCTTTGATTTAACAACTAATAGAATAGTAACAGCTACATCATGAAAACCCTGTGAAAGATAACAAAAAATCCAGATTACTAAGACAACCTATAGCCGATAGAAAATTTTACCCCATAAATAAAAGATTTACAGTGTATATAATAAAGTAATACCTATTATGGAGATTTCTCAATATAATTTTTTGAAATCAACTAAAAATACATTTTTTTAATATATTTCTGCATTATAAAATCCTACCTTCAGATTAAAAGTTTTTAAGGCAGAATAAAAATTAAAATACAACAAGACACCTCCTTATCAAGATTTCTCTTGGAATTTATAGCTGAAGAAAATTAACTTTCAGGAGAGAAATTAGCTTTTGATGTTTACATTGGATGACAACTAATACACTTTACACTAATACACAAGTTTCTTGCTCATAAAAAAACCAAAATTAAAGTAATTTGCTTACATCTGGCACCAGAGCAAACATATAATTGACATATTTTTAAAATAGGGGCTCTGTTAAAATTATCTCCCTCTTCTGATTCACCTCTAATTTTTTCTTTAATTTGTCAAAAAAAATTCAGCAGTCTAAGAGAATGATTCCCTTGCGACACACATTGAAATTTCTTTAGTGCCCATTGAAACTCAAATAGACTTACCTGATAATAGTGCAACCCAGGATTTCTTGAAAGAATTGTAACTATTGTTGCTATCAACTCATCTTGAATGGCAATTCTCCTTGAATCTTCGATACTGGGAGGAAACCGTTTGATTGACCGGTTAACATCTAAAACTACTTGGTTATACTCATGGTGGCTCTCTAGCTCCTCACCAGAGATATTATCCCAGTCTGGTAGATCTTTCAAGTCCAAGAGCAGTGGCCATGCTTTTGACCGCACATCATCTACAGATTAAATAGACAAATAAATGAGTAGGGATAAAAATAAAACACAGGTATATAAGAGAGTAATGACCGTCTGAAAATTCAATGATTTTATTCCATAGAGGCTGCTTGTAAAGGCCAATTAACTAAAGTACCATTGAACTTGGGTAAGTCATGGAAAAGCCATATAGAAATTTAACACAAGTAAGATAGCCAAGTGCTATAGCCTCGTAAAATACGGAACAACCACACTGTCTTTACTGACCCACGCCCTTACTGTCAATCACTTATGATTCATCTTATTGCTGGTAGCAGCCATATAACGACGGGGAAACTACCAGAGCACGTATCTCGTTTGCGGTGTTTAAAAATCTCAGCTTCCATTACATCTTGTTGAAGGAGAACAAAATAAATATAATTCTTTGAAATTTTCCCAGAGTTTTCCTTGCATAGAGAGGAAAAACCACAAAATTTTTCAAGAATTGATGTTGAGTAGTTTTCCATTTAAAAAACAAAGTATGACATGAAGTCTACAACGTCGCAAACCAAACTGCGTGGTCTGGTAGTTTCACCATCGATAACTGGAAAGCTACAGCATTTAAAATGACATGGAAGTATCATAATGAGTTGCCTTGGTTACCAGTCTTAAGGAATATAAAGTGTGGGCCATTTTTGCTACAATTGTCTTTCCACAGTATGTCAATTGATAGAGGTTTACAGAGCAAATCATCACCCTCCTGACATAAAGGACGTAACAACACTTTGCGATGAACTCTTTCATCTCTTTAACTAATAACTCAATGCTCTTCTGGGTTCATCTATCAGTGAAGGTGCGCCTCATAGTCAGGCAAGCGACAAAATGATCCAAAAGTATGACTATTAATGGTCATTTGAGTGATGAAACATGATCTACATTCACTTTGATTAGAAAGAGTGAAACATATTACAGAGTTCTAGAGAAATTACCATCAATGAGACCATGCTGAAGTGCCTCTTCTCGCAAGGCTTTGGAGTCTGATTTCGCTATAAGCTGATACAACCTCTGCTTTCGCTTCAGAAGTTTCCTTTCTACAGCCTCTGCCTGTTCATCGGTAAATTTTTGGAAGTCTCCTGGGGGTGGTTCTCCGTTGACTTCAGCATCAATGATGTCATCGCACACAGAGGGCATGATTAATTGCTGACTACCGACAAGGGCTCAGTGCAGCAAGAAATGGAAGAATTGAGAATTAAACTGATCGATGATCATTTTTAACGAATTAGAGACCGAGTAAAATCATTTACAATATCCATTGATAATAGCTATTACAAAAAGAGAATGGGTGCGTTTTTTAAGGATGAAGAGAGAGCACAACAACGAGAAAAGGAGAATAACAAGAGCTTAGAAAACTTTTGACACAAATGCCACTTAGAAATTTGACAACGATGATTCGATTATCGATTTTCCATTAGGAATGAGAAAAATATTGATACGGAGAAAGTAAATTATTTAATCAAATCCTCAATAAACACTGATACGGACTGATAATTTTGACATTTCCTATGTTTACGATTTTTCTGCATCAACGTTGTCAAGTATGTGTCGATTATAAAATAAGTATGTAAAATAAACAAAGATAAAACAAATTTTAAAAGATAACTTGGCAAACATGCAAACAAGTGTGCGGAAAAGGGAAAAAAGATTTCCTACAAAATGTTGTCCAATGTTTTTATTATATTTTTAGTATTAACATCCTCCAAGCTAATTTCTGAATTTTTTTAAATAAAAATTAGATTATTTGAAGGTATTTTCATTTTCGCTAACAACTGAAAGTCTAATAGTAAAGAGGCAAACATTAGTTCAAAACTGTATAAAGACGCGAGTAATTACTGTGCAGTTGGCACTACGACATTGAAATTTGATGGCGGGACAGGCCTCATTGGTTTGAATTAGCGCGCATCAGCCGATGCTCGTAAGAATGGTTTTATTTACGATTTCCGCACAAGCAAACCAAATAGCTGATTGGAACGCAAGAATTTTGAGGGCACTAGGTTTTTCACTGAATAGGAAGGGAGACGCAAAAAATGTACAAATTCATGGATGAATAATTTAAAGGAATCCTTTTCTATGGATAAAAAAAGCAGGGGCTGAGAGTTTTAGGCATTGAAGGAATATTCTTCGTCTCCTTCTGAACAGAAACTTCCCTTGAAGAATTGAAAATCAAACGAGTATCATCAAAATTATTCTTTAAATAAAAGCCAGATAAATCTTGTAATGCACTCTTGAAATAAGCCCTTGTACCCTTCCTCCTCCCCTCTCCCTCTCATCAAAAAGAAATGGTCTGTCCCACCCTCTCGTATGGTACACACTGTAAAATGTAACTTGAGATATAAGGAACGACTAAATGACTAGTAAGAGGGACAAAGGAGAATTTTCACTTGAAGGAAAAAATCATTCTTCATTTTTTCAAATAAAACAATAATTTTATTTATAGAAAATCATAAATACAGAAAAATGAAAAAATTGAGAGATCTACTTAGGAGTTCTTGACTATAAAAAATGTCTTTTCATTTTTTCAATAAGTAAGTAGTGTACAAATTGAGATTAGCTTATAAAATCAATATGAGGCAACTTTTTTGGCGACGAGTTCCTCGTGACATGAAGGTAACCTTTTGAACAGTGGTGACATGGAGACATCATCCGTGGTGAAACAGTCTTTCACAGCATATTTCTTCTACAAAATCTTAAGTAAAATTTCCTGTCCCTTTGTTGCCAGAATGATAAGAAAATTTCATTCTTGGGCAATTAAGGATACTTGCAAACAATGCTAAGTATAATGACGGAATAAAAATCGCCAAATAACACAACAAGTTTTTAGTTTAAGTGAACTTGAAAATGTTGGAATTTTATATTTCAAAAAAGCATCCAGAAACCCTCCTTTCATCAGCTGAATAAGGCATCCTTAAAATTCTGGATAATTTTCACATCTGGTATTACACTTGCATCGCCTGGTTCATCTTCTGGTCTCTGAACAAGGATTACATTCATTCCTGCCATCGTTGCTGCATGTGCCTCTGAAAAAAATATTTGCAACTTCAGATCTACTAATAATAATAAAAAAAATAAGCTTGCACAGAGTCAATCTACAAGGGTTTGAAATATTGATATCTAAATTGCAAAATCATGTACCTCCATTGCGGTATTTAAAAATTTCTGATTCTATTTATTTTGTTTTTTCAGAGTGAGACAAGCCAACTTTATGGCTATACAGAATGTTATGCTGAAAGAGAAGAAAATTCTAAGTTTTCAAGAGATAAATTACGTTGACTTGTATTCCAGAGAAAAAATAAAGTATGACAGGAAGTATGCAACATCAGAAACGGAAACATGTTGTTTTGCACTTTGGCCATCCATATATGTATAGGCCTGTATGTTTGGCTCTCCCAAATTCTTTTTCTTCAGCAGTGTGATTGTTGACAAGAGAAAAGAGGAAAAGGGGGGGAGGAGACCATACAACCCTATAATTTAGCATCTCTTCCACAGCTGAAAGTTCAAACACACACAAAAATATGACGAAGATGGAGCAGAGTGGCATTCAAGCAGCCTATAAGCTTAATCTCTTTTTACTTTTCATTTAAAATTCCATAATTTAATTTAATAAAAAAATAATATTTTGCGTCTCAACATATTGATTCTGATGATATGCATGCAAATATTTATTTCATGGACAGATGTCCTCTTTCCTTGGTACTGAAGAGAGGGATAAAGAAACCATTTAAAAGCGGAATTAACATTCGAAGGCAAACTATCGAACACTATCAAAATATCTCAAATCAATACAAAATAGCCTATTTAGTGACCAATTATGAAAGCTAACGAGGCAGTTCACATGGACAGAAACAATTACCGAGTAATTGTGTCAGAAACATACAGCTCTTGATGCTAAAAAATAGAAAATTGAGTGACAAGAACCTGACTCACCCTCAACGCTGTCCGTGTAAAATGTGAAGTCAGCTGTCCTTGCTTGGCACTCACGGGCTATTCTCTCATAACTAGTTTTTTCCTTTTTTGAGCCAATCGTTGTATCAAAATGTGCACAAAAATACTGGTAAAAAAAGAAATATAGCAGTCACAGTAAAATCAGATTTAAAAAAAATTGTTGCTTCATTGGTACAAGAGAAATTTTCAAAGTAAATCTTTCAGGTTGACAACAGAGCGCACAGAGCCGCATTAAGTTTGAAATTTTCTTCCTCCACGAGACTTAATGTTAAGGACAAAGTTTAACAACTATTTTCAAGTTCATATAATCTATCTTGACTTTGAATTTTTAATAGGTGGAAATTTACTTTTTACTTATTTTTTTCTCCAACAGCAAATTGGTGCATCTATTAAACTCGGTCCGATTGTTTCAGGTTGGGAGTTGGGTTTTCCTTTTGTCAAAGACGAAATATGTGTATATACTGTGATAGGCTCTTCATGCTGTAGTACAAAAAAAATTAATTTTGAGTTAGGATGGAAACAAGTTTGCAGCAAAATTGAAATATATTAAAGAAAAGCAGTCAAAGAAAATTTACACTATTGCGCATATTATTTTGATGAAAGCATCATGATTTAGAATTGATAACATCTCTATTTATACACATGGCAACACAACTCAGACTTACAGGTGTCATATCTCCATGCTCAGAAAATCTGAATAGAAGCTTCTGAGCTTCTATACTTCCAGATGAGTAGATCATGATCTTCTTCTTCTCTGCAGCCCATTTTTTTATGGCTTCAAATGCATCAGAGTATACACTGAAATCAAAAAAGAAATTTAGTTCATTGTTGGGTAAGCTTTTCAAAAAATTTGGATACCTATGTCTTTTACACATAAATAGTACTTACATGGCAAATAAAAATCATGAAACTTTTTTATCAACTGGACTAAATTTTGCAATTTGGAACTATAAATCCTCGCCCGGTTGAAAAACAACGTATGTGCCATTAGTTTCCCTATGCACATAAGTGTTTTCCCAGAAGAGCCAGAATTTATAGTTCAGAATTGCAAAATGAAGTCCAACTTTAAATCAGAAAACTAAGAAATGGTGGTTACTTCAATTTGTATCATTTGTATTTGTATTTCATTTGATATCTGCATGAGAATAACAGTCAAGAAAATTTAAAGTTCTTCAATGAGGAAGATCAAATTTGAGTGTCTCCACTATGCAGCTTGTGTCTAATAATTGTTGCTATGGACTGACAAGTGATTTCATGATTATTCTATCATTTCAAAGAATTAGATTTTGCAAATGTTAAGTGAGTTTCACTTCCATTCCCTAGTTTTCATCTTGCCTCATGGGTAATGACTTATCTTTGAAACAAGTGAAAGAAGGTAAAAAGGATAGACTTACTGTCCAACAATTTTCCCTGAGTCATATCCATATTTCCACATATGTCCTTGCAAACTTTTCAAACCTGTGGTCTTTCTGTCCAGATCCATCTGACGTAAAACGTTTCGGATAACTGCCTCTCTTACTTCATCGCTGGTTCCTTCAGATGGGATAGGGACAAAGTCTGCAAAACCAGTTTTTTTATCTGTTTCTGCCTGTGATACAATTTACAAAATTAAAAAAATTAGCATGAAATCATGATAAAGAAATTAAATAAAATGAAAAAGATACTAAAAATGGTAGAGAGAAATATGTAAGATTCACATTCACCTCAAAAGTTTATAGGTCCACACTTCAAATAACAGCAAGATTAAATAATTATCACATTGATGACTGCATAGTAAGCACTCACTCTTAATGCTTTCTTTGCCAAAACCATGAGCAAGGAATTCAAAGCCTATTTTGTTAAGATTTCTTCTCCTTGTGGGCCTAAATAATCATGTTGTTAAATTGTTTCGTATCGTCAGTCGAAAACATGCAGTCTTCCTACAATTGAAGTCATTGTTGGGTCGGGAAGGGAGAGAGGAACTTTAATGTTGCTCTTCACATTAGATCGTTTTAATGGTATGGCAACACTACATGACACTGTTTGAGAGATACTTAGATTGAAGAAATCAGAAAGAGAGACGAATGCACACACCTGTTCCTTTAGTGCAGTGATATCTCTTTTTAGTTCTTCTTGATTCCAATAACTAGTTAAGTACTCTGAGAGGTGTTGACGCACATACGGAAATAGAGTGTCCTGAAAACATAGAAAATGAAAAAGGAGAGGGGATGAAAATAGAAGAAAATGACTTCTCAGTTTAATGTAATATGAAGACCTAAATCAAGAACGGGCTAAGAGCCAAAAAATGAAAATCGAGTTAGACCTCGACCAGTGTTCTATGTACCAAGGATAGCAACCCGTGAAGCGGGCTGAGCACCACGACCATGATAGTAGTGCGCAGTGAGCCCCGATAGGTAGTGGTACGTGGTATGTGCAGGATCTGTGGGAAATGAATGTTGAATAACTGAAACTTGACTAGTTGGCACTCAGCCCATTATTGATTTAAGGTCTTCATATGGAGTCCAAACCAACTGTAATCATATACTAAATATTCTTTAGAACTTCAGCTTGACAGTATTATGAGCCAAAGGTATCTACTTAATTGACAATGGGAAGATTATGACACCTGCACCTTATTGAGCATCGGTCCAATTTTTTGCTAAAATGCATTACTTAATTAGGTACACTGTGCTGAGTGCTGAGCATGTAATGAACATAATTTAGCAGTCAGTGTTGCCAAACCTGACAGAACCGCCGGGTGGAGGTCTCATAATCTGACTTACGTGATGTCTTAGTTTCGGTCAGTTCTAGAGAAATTTTTATGGCACCGAAGCTGGGGAAATAATTGATACCTTCAGCACGAAATGATGAAAATTTTGCAGAACTTTGTGCTTTTAATTTTTTAAAGTGTTGCACGTTTCAACTATTCCTATTATCCTGAAATCATACACAGGTATACTCACAGTCACAAACCGTTTTGAAGTGATGGTGCCTTCTATGTCCAGGAGAATAATGCTGTTGGGACTCATCATAATGAGGTAAATCCTAGCTTTTGATTCCTAGTAGTAAGCACCTTTCAAACTTCCAGCTAGATTTGATTGTAGAGGAGATGTAAGAATTGGCGCTGTGACTGAGAGAAGGTTGACCACAACAAACCATAAACTTTTCTCTGCTTGAGGGACTGTACGAATTAAGAAACCGTTCAACATCTAACGTCATCAAAATATTAAAAAAAATAATATCCACTGCCCTTTCTTGATATTAATAATGAACAAAAATAACACAATCGCAGATAACGTGGTGATAACGTGGGCGCTTTGAAAATTGATAAGAAATATTGTTTACTGCGATCTGAGCGCTACAGGTGGGCATTGACCTTACTATTCAAAGTTCCTTGTAGTATGCAATTTGCTAAACGAAAGCAAGCTTTGGAGCTTTTTTCAGGTTATGTGACTTGTTTATCACCTGGGTGTCCGTAGGTGTATGGGAGGTGAGGTGTCACCTTTTCAAAGTGAAAGCGAAAGCGCCAGATTCCAGGTTTTACCAATTTGTCATACTACTTAACGCGGTCGATTAGATTTAAATGAGAGTGTCTGTTTTTATTATGATAATTTAAATTGTATGTGTTATCGTTATTTGAAGTCATATCTTCAATCCCAAATACTCAGGACAGTGCCTCACATAAGTTAGCCCTTATTTCCAATCTTCATCAGAATGGCTGTGACCACACGACTGAAGTATAAGGCTGGTTTACATCAAGAAGACCACAAGGAAAGGACCAGAACCTCAGATTTTGAGAATAATAATGGAAATCAAAAGGAAAATCTATCCAACTACAACAGTCCTAACAAGCGGATCAATCCTATGGTTTATGTTGTCTTCACCTCGCTTCTCCTAGATCTTTTAGCATTCACCATGATTTTACCATTATTTCCATCCCTTCTTGATTATTACAAGAAGAATGATGGTCCATCTGGTCTTTATTCAACACTGGAAGATAAGGTTGATAAGTTTCAACACCTTGTCGGTGCTCCTTTCCAGTTCAAATCAGTTTTATTTGGTGGTGAGTATCTACTTACTTTTGCCCTCTGTTTTTGTACAAGTATTTACTACCTGCAGTAGGTAGGTATTGTAGTTTGAAACTAGAAGTTATCTTCTTAGAGAGAGGATGTAAAAGTAATAAGAGGCTGTCCTACAGGTAATGTCTCTTGAAACGCTAGCAGCTCTGCATTGACTTTGTTAAAGTTACAACTTCCTAGTGCCTATTATCTTGATTGTCACTGAGTTAGCACTGGCGATGAATAGGCTGTAGTAATGTTTCAGTGCTAAAATTGAAGGCAGCTTAACTTCGTTAGACTAGAATGTTAATTCAGAATTTGCTAACATGTAATCTCAAGGGAGTCATTTACATCGGATGCTTCTTGACACCAGTAATCTTTTTCTTTTTTAAAAAAAAGCAGATAGAAGTACAACTGGACCTATCTTGATCCTTAGGGGAAACGAGTGTAGTTGTTAATAAACAATCATCAAAGAAGAAATACTTCATTAGACATCACTCTAAAACCTCATTTTTCAAATACCCAGTGCCATTATAAATTCTGTCTGAAATACAAGGTAGCTTATCAATTAAATTTCTTTTTACTTGCAGTATATGAACTTCCTGATTTTTTTTGCTCCAGTTACATTTAATTCACCTGTACAAGTCTGATTTATTACAAGGTTTGACTCATTCTTTTCTCTCAACTTTTTACTAGGTTTTCTGGGATCCTTATTTTCATTTCTGCAGTTCGTAACGTCTCCAATAGTGGGTGGACTCTCTGATGTCTATGGACGCAAACCTATTTTACTAATTTGTTTGGTGAGTTGATGTACTCTATTAGTTAAATTAAAAATTTGGAATAATTCCAAACTGTATCTCATCATACATACAAAGACGGACAAGTTTTTCGAAGGAGAGAGCCTCTTTGAATAAAATCAATAATAGGTAATTGATAATTTATCGTCTAAAGTCAAAGTTACAATTTCCAAACGAAGCCAAACACACAGCTGAAAGGAAACATAATATATAACTCAAACATAAAACTGAACTATTCATTAAGGCTATAATTTGCCTTGGTTCCCAATCAACATTTTACAATAATTTTAAAGACCTAGGGATTTTCAATTGATTTTAAATGAGGCGGCAAGTGATTAAAATTTTTTGGGCCAATCACTCATGGGCTTCTGTTATCTACATGCTATTACCTCCTGTGATATAAATATCTTTACAATTTCTATTCCTTTACAATTTCTATTCTTAAACCCTTTAATTTCTCTGTTGAATGCAAAGAGTCCTGGAATTCTTAAGCCTTATCTTTGTTGTAGTGTAATCCTCAACATTTGTGTTCCAGGTTGGAATTATGGTATCCTACTTCCTGTGGTCAATTTCGTATGATTTTACAATTTTTGTGCTGGCCAGAATAGTAGGTGGCATCAGTAAAGGCAATGTTAGTCTATCAATGGCCATTGTCACTGATTTGTCGTCAGTTTCAAATCGAGGAGCAGGCATGGTAAATGTGTTTTCTCTATCTTCAACTCATCATAATCCTGCCACCAATTTTAATTTCATGCCTGTCAAAAATTTGATTTATCAGGCCTTAAAATGTTTAACGCAAATTGATCATCCCTTTAGTTGAAATAGAAAGAGAGAAATGCCAAGTAAATGCATTTTGTAGACTCGGTACAAAATATATTTTCCAGTAATGGTGAAATATTTCAATTCCATGAGGTCTTGTTGAAATATATTAATGGACAGAGTTTAAAAGAGAAGAACCAAGATCCTCAAACACCTAGGTGTGTAAAGGAATCGATGGCAGCTATCTGTTTCGTTCCTAAAGTAAGCCATAAAAGTTAGTTCCTAACTATTAAACTCAGTCTGAATGGTTTGCATAGTAGCCATAACTTGCTCATAGAGTATGATTCAACTTCCATAAACTTTTGCATTTTCCATTGCTGATAAATTCCAACTATTGGAGCCTCCCAAAACTTAGGCCCTTTTTGAGCAGTATTGGGAGTCCTTCAAACTGGGCATGAGTGGAGACTTACAAGTATTTAAAACTAGGGTAAACATTTTACAAAGTATATAGGAGATATAGTGGTGCAAAATTGTCATTTTTAACCCTAATTTGACCATAACTTCAACACCATTTTGGTGGAAACATCCTCAGAAAAAGAGACATTCAAGAACTTCTAATTCTGTTTCTAATTTTTTTACCTTTTTATCAGTCCATCGTCATCCTCTGTAAATGAAGGGTAAACGGATCGGAGATGGAACTCTTAAATCTGCATATGGACTTCCGAAATCCCTGCACCGCAGGTCAATTTTTGAGCGATTCTACAAAGTAGTCTTAAACTAAGAATACTTTTGAACTAGAGAATGATATAGTGGAGTTATGCCCAAGATACATAGAAAATGCATGCCTCTCATTCATTCCCATTCCTTTTGATCATCTGCAGAGTGTTTGAAAACTCTCGGAGCAAGGACCAATTTACAAGTTGTCTCAAGTTGCAAAATTTTCAAAATCATAAAAGTTAGCCACTTAACGTTACTTTTCTTTTTTGTTTCAGGCTTTGGTTGGCATTGCTTTCTCAGTTGGCTTTATTGTTGGTCCACTCATTGGCGCAATGTTTGCAAGGTGGGCACAAATGCAGACTGGACTCTGGTTTGTTTATCCTGCCCTTGTTGCTCTTCTTTTGTCTTTTGCAAACGTTGTCTTTGTTTCTCTCTTCTACAAAGAATCCCTTCCAAAAGTAAGAAAACAATTCACTCATTTTTCAGTATATTATCTACAGAGTCTGATGAGAAACTAAGATCAAACTTTCTTGAAGTGAAACAAAATTATGGGGAGGAATAACTGGCATTCACGTAGTGAATACCTGAAGAACGCTTTTAACAGAAGACCTTCTAGTTTCAAGTTCCAATAAATGATAAACCAATATACCCCAGGAATTGATTATTAGAAAATGGATTTACATTGATACTTTAATCATCTAGTAATTTGTGATAGAAAACCTCACCAAGTACAGAAAAGCTGAATATTTGGAGATGATTGAAAATGTCATATTCAATGGAAATGTGGTTGAAACTCAAAACTGGAAAAAGCACAAAAAGCTGCTTGAGATAGCTGAAGTTCTTTACGATTAAAGTATCATTGTTCAAGATACATACTGATGTACACTAAATAAATTGATTTGAGGTAAATTTGCTCAATCTCAGTGCATAAAAGCTGAAAAGAGTGAAAAAGAACTACGCTGAAGATTCCATAAAATTTTAATTTGAAGCAGATTAGGCTTTTCTGCAATAATCGTCATGCAGTAAAATCCTTGCTTCTCATTAGTCAAAAATACATGTTTCAACTAACCAGAAGGCTCTAAATTACTTTTCTACAAGACAGAGGAGATGGATTTCATCAATTGAAAAAAAGAAAAATTATCCTTCAATTTAACCAAGAAAAATTGAATTTCATGTTGCATTTTGGGTACTTTGTCTAGAAATATATGAATTCTAAGTAAATTCAACTGATACGATTGTGAATGAGAAAAGAAACGGCGGTGCCTGGGGGATTTCATAGTGTTTTTTTTTCTTCTTCTTGAGTTGGGTTGAAACATCAGTATTTGAGTTTTCAATGCAATACTTGCTCTTATATGTAGGTGCATAATTTGCAAGTGGTTTAGCTCATTTTTGTTGCATCTTCATCCCACAGTCTGCAATCCCTAACATCGTATGTGAATAAAATTGTGAAAAGCTTTTTCTCAATACTATATTTTCGGAATTAAACCGTCATACCGTAGGTGTAGTTCGACAATTTCAGATTTCTTTTTGTCACAAAAAGTTAAAATATTCCTCTGCACAATACTATTATTATTCCCCTCCGTGCATGTCAAGGTACGCAGGTCTTTTCTTGTGTACTGCCACAGTTGATGAGGTTGAAAAATGCTGAAGTGAATTTCTTGAAAATCCTAACAATTGATTGTAAGAAGCTGTTTGGTAACATTCGTGAGATTTGATCATGAAAAATTTGCGCTGATTTTTAATATCAGTTGAGCATATTTTTTCGTAAGTTTCTGGTAATTGTTAAAAGGTGAACAATTGTTAATTAAGAATTCTAAAAATTTCTGAAGGTATCAACATCGAATTTTTTCTTTAACCTAATAGATCAAACTACACTCTGTCTTATCCCATTATTCATCATCCGTTTAATTTTAATCAAAATGAATTAAATAAACCATGTAAACGTCAGAAGAAATCATCAATTGTACCACCTGAAATATTTTCAAGCTGCTTTTAGATTTGTTAGAGGAATTGTTTCACCAGTTGTATGTGTCTTTGTCTCAGGGGAAGCGATGCAAATCCCTAGCAAGTAGTGTCTCTCAAGCCTTAGCCTTTATTAAGGTCAATGATCTCTTTCAATTCACTGCCGTCCAAAATTTATCCAAATCAGGTCAGTATCAACGTAAAACTGTTATGTATCATTAAGCCCTTTTTAAGGCTTTATTCTGTGATAAATCTGATCATTCAATTGTTCAGTGGAATGAACTTGATTTTTAGGATTGCCTCATGACAATTTTGCTTATGTGACCTCTTTTACAGCTGCGCAACATGTAACTATCTCTCTCACACTAGAGTCATCTCTGAGAATTCAAAGTGAAAAGATTTTTTCAGTAAACTTGGTCAGGTATCTAAATCTTTGTCTAAAAATTAAGGAGCTTCCTCTTCAAGGATGTAAATAAGGAGGAAATATCTCTGACTCTGATTGACTTCTCTGAGCGTTGCTTCGATGTTTGTTGAAAGTAAATTGTCTTTAATTTTAGATCTCTTTGAACTGCGCCACCTGGGTCTTGTCTATTTTGTGTACTTGTTTTTGTACTCTGGCCTGGAATTTACACTTACGTTCCTGACACATCACAAGTTCCATTACACATCTATGCAGCAAGGGTATATGTTCTTTGGAATCGGTCTTACCATGGCACTCCTGCAAGGATCATGGGTTCGTCGTATTCCAATAAATGCTGCTCGGAAAACTGTGTCGGCGGTAAGCCTTGTCTTTTTACCAATCCAATTAATATGCTTTCTTTAAATGTCATTTTTTTCTTAAGCTCCAAAAATTTCTGCATAAAAGAGTAGAAATTCCTATTCTACTTCTCCTACAGCTGCCGTCAAGGAAGAGGGACATTTGTCTAATGTGGACGTTCTAACCATTACAATTTCATGGAGACATAAGATTTATTTTTTTGAAACAAAACTGGATTAAGATGCCTTTAATTTCATTCCGAGCTCAAGTTCGGAAGTGGTGGAAAAAATTAGTGGATCAAAATGGATCTTCGTCAAGTTGAGGTTTTAAAACTCGAAGAAAATCTAGAAAATTGAAAAATTGTTTTCATATCACTGGTGAAAGTACTCATAAACTTTGAGCACAGTATTTATACACTCGGAACTCTCAGCTTGCAGTTGTAAAATTTGATCCTTCAATGTTTCATTGACAAACTATGAATCATGTTTCAGGGATTACTCATTATCATTCCATCATTCTTGTGCATTGGCCTGGCTGAAACTATTCCCGTTCTTTACTTTGGTGTATTTCTGTTCGCAGTCTGTAAGTATTCTACTTTTTTCGTCTTCTTAACCCACTTTTGATGGCTTTTTTGACTTTGAACATTGCGAAAGATCCATTAGCTCATTTTTTCTTTGTATCTTTTGATTATAATCATTCAGGGTGGTAAAAATTATGATCTAGTTTGATTGTTTTCATGTATGTTAAAGGAGAACCTCCCATTTGGTCTATATACTACAACCTTATCACTTTAAGGTTTAACTGATTATTCAGAGAAACATCCTGTAGAAGAACATCATTGAATTTTTTAAGGAGTGACGAATAAATATTTACCTAGATGGCTAGAGGTTTGCGAAACAAACCAATGTAGACGTTTTTCTAGTTTCACCATTATTCTGCATGCATTAAAATTCCTTTTGAAACAAGTTTATCCGACAAATTGCCACCTGTAAAAATTTATGATGAAGTCATGTTTGCATGTAGAAAGTTTTGTCTTATTGCAAGTCAGGGGTCCAGAAAGTTCTTTTTTGATTCATTTGTGTGAGAGCTCAGTGCTGGTCAAGAATGAGCTTCACAGTTTTCTCCACAAAAACCGATGCATTTTGCAGTTTACTTCACAAAAACTAATGTGCTTGACAATTTGCTTCACAAAAGAGCTTAAAAAAGTTTTCAATTTTTCCCCCCAGAATTCAATGATAGAACCAAATTATCCGTGGGGTGGGGGATTTTCTCACAAAAAATTTCTTGTCCTCAACTGCTTTCACAACAAAGCACAGGAGCATGTTTTTGCGCTGAAGCATTTTTTGGACTCCTGTTGCAAGTAGTAAAGATTCCAAATAATTTATCAGCAGATTTAAAATTGCCTAAAAATTTAATCAAAATTAAAATTAATTATAATTTTTATAAGATTTATTTGACTTTGTGTGCTTTGCAGCTACATCAATGGTAGTTCCTTGTATGATGACTCTAGCTTCACAGTATGGGACAGCAGCTCAGAAAGGAACTGTGATGGGAATTTTTCGCTCTCTTGGTGCCCTAGCAAGAGCAGTGGGACCCATTTTTGCATCAATTGGTACGTGAAATGTACATTTTTCCCCTTCATTTTTGTAAAAAATCACAGAAAAAGGTTAGTAATACCATGTTTAACAGGGTCGTAGCAGCATAGCAGTCCTTTGCAATTACCCATAACCTTTGACTCATTTCATCGTGTGTCAGCACTCCATGAAGAGTGTGAGTTGCTCTTTAGTCTTCATCTACTGTAAAATGACGTGGAGAGATTCAACAAAATTTTGACAAATTTTCAACGGTATTAATTTTGCTAAAAAATTTTCAATTCATCAGTATCAAAGGAAATCTAAAGTTGCCAGCTCATGTCAAAAATACCAATGGTGTTGCCCGAATACTATAAGTTTCAGGATGGCAGAACTGGACTTCATTTTGCAATTATTAAGAACTACAATTTCTAGCTCATCTGTAAAAACTTTTATGTACTCAGGGAAACTAATGGTTCATATGTTGTTTCTAAACGGAGCCAGATATTGTAATTCCAAATTGCAAAATGTACATAGGGTGTCCCAAAAGTACTGCCCCTTTTTCCGCAGAGGGCGAAAGAATGCAGATATCAAAATGCGGTTTGTGTGAGGTTATAGTCCTAGTAATTATCTATAAAACAAGACCAAGTTGAGCTCTGTAGCTTAAAATTTGACCGAGATACAGCATTTTGAAAGTGACGTGTCAAGGTGCCGCCTACGAGATTTTCAACATTTTTTTACGGACGAACCCTAGGACGAACAGACACGACGCATCTGCAGGTGGTCCTTTAAGATCCGGTGCAATGAACTTTTTGAGATGTCAAGCAACACCTGAAACTTACGCAAGGATAAATGACGGTCTCCTCGAACAACAGCAGCAACGGTACCGATTAATTCGTCTGTGGTGGAGGTAGACGGTCGGCCCGGTTTCGCGGGACTTTCCGCCGATTCGCGGCCGCCAGAAAAAGATTTAAACCAACGACCAATGCTACTTCTGTCCAAACAGTCGTCTTTATACACGCCTTTCATTTCATTAAAAGTGTTTTTTACTGACATTCCTCGACGAAAACAATAACGAATAACGTGGTGTTGTTCTTTCCTTAATTCGGTACTCATCGCGAAAGAAACTTCCAAAACGACAGAGGGATGAACTCAGATTGACGTGCCGGGAAAGCTTGACCAACTTGGATGGCACTAGCGGACACTTTCAATCCTGTCGTTGGTCTGCATAGGGGCGCTTACACGTTGCCAAATGCCGCCTAAAACACAGTGATGCCATATGTTTCTGGCCGCTTCTTCTTCTTTTTAAAACCGTTTCATTCTTAAACTTGGTTTTTTCTTTCGTAAAAAATGTTGAAAATCTCGTAGGCGGCACCTTGACACGTCACTTTCAAAATGCTGTATCTCGGTCAAATTTTAAGCTACAGAGCTCAACTTGATCTTGTTTTATAGGTAATTACTAGGACTATAACCTCACACAAACCGCATTTTGATATCTGCATTCTTTCGCCCTCTGCGGAAAAAGGGGCAGTACTTTTGGGACACCCTATGTATTTCAATTATGCTAGGTCCTTAATATTCTGCAGGAAAATCAAAGCCAAAAACTAAAGAAACCAGAATTAGAATTACAAAGTGATCTCTAAACAGTTTCAGTGCAAGACTCAGGGACAGCGGCTGATAGGGTGTGAGCTGCTGATGAGGTTAAAGAAGACCCAAACCGTTATAGATCTCTTAGAGTGACCCCAGCCTATTCTTCCAATGCATTTGCCTGAGCTGAACACTCTCCTCCCGCAGCCTTGCACTAGAACTCATCAGAGCTCATTTTCCAACTCTAATTACAGTAAGACCTCAATATATGGGATCTCACGGAGCCAACGGGTCAATCCGTTCAATAGAGAATTTGCAAGGGTCTGAAATTTGATGAATTTCGTGTTTAAGTGGAATCTACTGAGTGAACTGAACACGGAGATACCCTTCATTCATAAATCAAGCAATTACTAGAGGAGATATGACCAAATAACTGATTCTGCTAAAATACATGTATTTAAATGGAAAGTGCTCCCAGATGACGTCACTAAGCAGTGCATTTTCTCACTTTTAAATCTATTTTTAAAGCATTTCCCATGTCAGAAGAAAATTATAAAAAATACTGTGAAATCAGCTTTTCAGGCATTTTCAGATGAAACAATGAAAAATTTGCAGAATCCTTTAAATCACAAAAATCGAGGTCTTACTGTATAAGTTTTGGTTTTCTTCTGGCTTTGATTTCCCCTCAATCGTACAGACCCAGCGCATTGCATATCAAATATTTTCATAGGTATACTACATGCAGTCCCATAAGAATAAGGTCAGAATTTAAAAACAAGAACTGAGAATTGTGCTCTGAAATTTTTTATATATGTTATCATCGTACATATTTTGAAATGAAAAATCAATTTTCTCTCCAGAAGAGATTGGCTCAAAACAATATGTATCCTCTTTTTCGCAGCTTACTGGTCAATTGGATCAAAAATTACTTACTGTCTTGGAGCTGTAGCATTACTATGGCCATGGATCTCCATCAGGAAAACAGTAAAATCTCCAGAAAAGACTTCTTAGTACCTACTTATTCAATTCAGGTAGTTAAATAAGCCAGTTGGCGCAGCTTTCATGCGATTTACATCTCATGATCCATCAGGTATGCCTCCTAAAGTATCCTAATCATGTGCAATTTTTTATCGTCTGTGCAACCTTGGAACTGGTTGCTTATCTAAGTGGGCTGCATTATTTTATTTTTAATTAATAGATAACTAACAATTTTTCATGGGCCACTAGACAGGGTACAAAATGAAGAACTTCATTTTATGTTTTCTCATTGAAATTTTACGCAAAATACAATGAAAGCAATCAAAATTTCAGAACGAACTCATTAGTAAGAAAATAATGACTTTTATCTACGTTAATTCACACTTCCTGCGCACAGAAAAACGGTAGCTTGAGTCAAATTGAGCTCTGAAATAATGTCGGTATGTTTTACCTATTTTTAGCTGTAGTCCTGAATTTCATACACTGTGTAGTGGTCCATTTCTTAGAAATTGATTGTCCTTTAAATTATGTAAGGTAACTAAATTTAGATTTTCCTCCAAGACAAATTTCAGTCATAATTTGTACTGACAAAACCGTGATGGCACTGTCAACCAAAGGCATATTTTTTTTAAACAGTATTTTTTGCTATTTTTATTATTCCTTATTGTTCGCGTAAAGTACTTAATGACAATCTCATATTGTTACAAGACTTTAACTTAAACTTAGAAACTTTAAACTTAAAAATTAGATTTAAACATTAATGATTGACTCATGGTATTGTTTGAGTCTCTCTGTTAAATTGTTAATAATTATTAATAATCGTTTTTATTTTTTTTCAATGCTGCAACTCTATCGGCATTCCTAGTTACTTATTTTGTGATTTAGAATTACTTTTTCCTTGCCTTATCTGATTATTTGAGTGACTCTCATCATCATGTATAGTTGTATGCCTTGTCTTGACTCAGATCTGAGTAGAACTAAATTATAAAATGTCATCGAAATTTGTATAACAATTTCATGTTTTTTGGCCTATTTTACAAATGTATCTTCAAAGTCAACAAAACTTTACTGGGAATACATCGCAGGAAATTAATCCGGAGCAACTTACGATCAGCTCTAGACTGAGGAATTTTCAAGGGCAGCAATATTTTTCATTGATCTGAAGTGATTACTTGATTACTGAAGTGATTACTGTAAATTGATGTTCTTTGCAGCGTCATGAAGCAAAAAGGTTATTGATTCCTTGTGTTTCCCTAGATTCCTCAATTTTTTGCATTTTTCATTGGAATTTTTTTTTTTTTTTTTTTTTTTTTTTTTTTTTTTAAGATAGGTAAAATCAGAACATTAAATATGGAATTGCATGAAGGCTATTTTATGAGTTAGAAGCAAATTGCTGAGACTTTCACACTTACATTATTTTCAAAGCAATTGCTGTTCGTTCAATTTTGACACTTCACTCTTGATCGTTACTTGACTAGTTTTTCATTCCCTTAGTCATCACTCAATCATAGTCTAAAAATTCATCACTAATACAAAAGTGTCAGCTTAACTTGCTCTCCAGTCGCAAATTGTGAGTACAAGACTCTGATTGCCTGTGATATATCCACAACTGAAGTCAACTTGAATATTTTTACATTAACGAATACCTTCAACTTTATTTTCTCATTCTCTGAGATTATATCTAAAAACTTATGTATCATTTAGACATTCAAGTATTTACGCTCTACTTTGAAGGTATGAGCTGTTACAGACTCAGTGCAAATAACCATTGGCGTGTAATTATAAATGCATCCTATTGAACAAGCGAGATTCATGAACTCGCATGAGGTCAATTTATAATTGAAAATTACTTGTCTGAAAATTTAAACCTTGTATTTTTGCCAAAGCTAAATTGTTTGCATGTCTTTTCTTACTTAATTCTTTTTTATTCCTTTGTGCTTTCTTTCTTAATATTGTTCTTGTCAATATTATTGAACATCATGCCCTTCATTAAGTTATTTCAAAGTTGTTGACTACTTGTGATAAGATCTTTTAATAATTAGTTGCATTTTTTTACACTTTTTTACAGTTAGCCTACAGTATTGTACTTTTATCAGTATTATGTTACCTTGTTCACAACTGATTTACTTACTTTCATCTCACTTAATACATTCTCTATTTTTTTTGCCAAGTATGTTTTTCTTTGCTCGAATCAACTTTATTCATTCCGTAAAATCAATCTCTCCTCTACCTCAGTTTCCAATCCCTTTACAAACCATTTATTTGAATTGGACCACATTTTGCAATAAGGAACCACTTTTTCTGGCTCACTTAAGAAACAACATATGAATTATCGGTTTCCCTATGCAGAAAGGTGCTTTAATGGAAGAGCCAAAAATTGTGGTTCCTTATTGCAAAATGTAATCCAATTGTTCCTCCAAAAACTCATCTACGCGGTATAGCTGTTATTAGAAGTAAGAATGATCTGCCAGCCACTCTTGCCAGATGTTAGTGCTACCAATGTAATATTTTCGTGTATCGCGTGGTTGTCAAGCTGCCTAGGTTACCAGTTGATAAGGGAACAAATTGAATATAATGTATTATAGGTAGGAATGTCTTTAGATTGTCAGCTGAACCCTTTGATGGACCTTGTGAACATGTCTGAACTATTGGTCATACTTTAAAGCTCATTGAAAAGGCAACAATTGAATAAAAATAAAATTTGGAGTAGGATGATGAAATTTATTTACACAAATGATTTAAAACAATTATGATATTTACAAGAACATAATTTAAAAGTGCTACATTTACATAAGTTAAAAAATAGGAATTGTATTAAAACATGAAAGTCTTCAAATGTATGTTTTCTTTTTACCTAAGAAAATAAAGTTAAAATGCTGAAATAGCAGTTTCGGATTCATGTCTCTGAAGCGAACACCGGAAGTTATCCAAAGCAAACACTCTGAAATAAATTACAAATGTTCACCATTTGTTAAACATTTTCTGAATTCTTTTTGACTTTCATGAAGAAATAAAATTCCTCTTTTCAGTCATCGTTCATCACAAGGAAATAATCTAAAAAGCTATGTTTATATCACAATTAGCTATCAATACTGAAATTCAATGATTGTTTGCGAGCAGCAGACACAGTCTGCAGAGTAGTACGGGAGTCCACTTTGTGAACATCAGCTTCCGAGATCCTTACAGTGTTAACCATGAAGCAGATAAAACCTCAATCTTTACAGGCAGAAATATCAAGATGGAAGATGGACTAAAGGCACATTTTGCAGAACTTACGAAAAAGCTTGTCAAATTATCATTTCAGTGAAATAAATTATTGCGGGTTGACCAGTCAGCTTCAAATCTTTTGAGCAATTGTGTTCTACCTTATGGGCTACAAACCAGAGTGAGTACGAGGGTGTGATGAAAACGGCTAATAATATAGCAACCAAAATTGATCAAAACAAAAAAAAAAACGCAGAAACCTGTGAGTGAACAATTGGACATGCCTAGTTAGACTTACGATTAGCCTTACTTTTCTACAGCCTTCACTACCTTCACAACCTCTATCGAAAAAAAAACATCTCCCTGAAGGCTTGTGATACCAAAGATCAGATTAACAAATTTTTCTGAATGTCCTGCTGAATTACAATTGGTGAAATCCGCTCCAGTAGAAATATTTGGGCCTTCATTTTCCATATAGCAAAGATCTAATCTAGGGATCATGCTGTCATTGGTTAGATGCTTGTTTTTAATGTTTTTAAATAAAGCACTGCGAAAATGAGGTCCTAGTTCAGCAGCGGTAATTTTCAAAAGCGTATTGATGACTCAACATCAAAATGTGTCTTTGGTGAAGTCCCATAATTCCACGGGCTGAAAAGCAGAGCCACTATTTGTTGCTTAGCAACTAAAGTTGACTTCAAATTCTGAAGAAGAGGCTTTGGGAATGTAAAGCATTCAAATCAAAATTTAAAATGTTGGTATTTGCACATATCAGAGATGCACGTACCTAATGGTGAAATCCTGATAAAGCATTCATTTTTATTATTATTTTTTTCCTCGCTTTGTGAATTTCTTTCAACTTCATTATTCTGTTCCCAAATTCAATTTTTGTCACAAAATTTACAAGAACGTACGAAAGTTTTTCCAACAAAAGGAACTACAGAGAAAGCAATGTTACTTTTGTGACCTACAGATGGAAATTCATGGGCCCAGATAGTGTCTGTCTTATAAGACAGAAAAATATTTGTATGACTCTTCATAAAAACAATACCTACATTTAATTTTATTAATGACTCAATTATTTACAGGCAGTTTTGGCAGTGCAGTTTAACATCGCTCCTCTCGGAAGAGATGGCCTGATCACCTAGCTTGATTGTTGTTCGAGCACGGTGGGCTTGTTTCTTACTTTTGTCTTTTCTGTTTCTTTTCTTGACTTTTCTGGCCAAATACTAGCTGGCCCTGACCTGGCTGTGACTCCACGGGTTGTGTTCCCTGATGGACTGCCGCCAGTTCCTGAAGCATAGAGAGAAACAAACTTGAGATCAGCTGTTTGAAGAAAGAAACTAAAAGAGTTAGTCTAGGAGTCAAGTCCTGAAAAAGCTTGTAGATTCCAAAATAAACACCCTTTGAGAGAGAGAAAAAAAACCTTCCTTTCTCAAAGTTGATTTACTTATTAAAATCAATCTTGGAAAAAATATTTTTGAAAATCTGGAGGGTGAAACAAGGAACCAGAAATAATCTAAATGATATTGTTGTGTGTTAATTGTCAACACTCAAAACAAAACCTAATTTGTGACTATGAACCAAAAAGTTGTGACTATATTTTCACCAATTCAAAATATCTGAAGATTACATAATAACTCCTTTGTCTAAGATATAATTAGTACATTTTGGCCTTACATGTCTCTATCCTTTCTCAAGGCTGTAGGACATGGGAGACTGCCACACATACAATTTTGAAAAATTACTCCCATAAAACCACACCATTGGTTCATAATCTCTGGAAATTCCCATAATGCTACAGGCCTAAATTGTTTGATATTTTTGAACAAATCTCCCTCATAAGAGACAAGCTTCATGGAAACAAACTGTTGACTCTAAAAACTAAGAAAAGCAATGTGTTGAATTGAGTTAATAAAACACAATGACAAGATGTAAGTCGTTCGAGAGGGAGCAAGCATCAGTTGATGCAAGGTAGCTGGAGAAGCAATGCAGCAGGGCAGCTGAGCTGAATAGTGGTAAAAATTATCCTTTTTCATTGAAACGACATTCTCCTATACTTTCCTCACCTCCAGTATTCAGAGGCAAAGATGATAACACCATATTGATTTTTTTCTCCCGTTAGGGCACTATACTTTATCATAACTTGCTGTCATCTGCCTTGAGTAATCATTGCTTTGTTTTATTTCTGCTCTAAATGTCAGTCCAGAGCTATGTGCTGCAAATGAGCCTACACAAATTGAAACACTCTATTCCTGCTTTAATTTTTTCTCCTTCATAGTGTCGCAAGACTTTGTGCAGCACTCTATTAAATTACCTTCCCCAGCACTTCACCTCTAGATTGCTTATATTCTATGCTTGGTGAAGGAATCAAAATTATATTACTATCATAATAACACTGTATAAAACTTACTTTCCAGATGGATTCACAGAGCCTCTTCTGTAAACTATTTGACCAGTGGCTGGGGCATATAAGCTAGGAGCTGAAGCAGAGATAACGTGAAGAAAATTAGTTGAAGAGAAGAAAATTTAGGTGAGACAAAAAGAGGAAGGCGTTGAAGTATAGTTTTAGGAAAATCAATGATAAGCATAAGGTTAGAGCAAATGCTTCTGCTTTCATATTGTGTCAAAAATGTTGTACAATTCAAACAACATAGGTATTCGCAAAGATAAGTATTATACTAGGGATTAATAGATTTAACTTCTTAGTACGTTGCCTTTTGAAAAAATCCTTAAGGACACACTAAGAAATGAATCAAAATTGGTAGAATCTTTAAATTCTCTTAGATGATCTTCAATTAAAAAATACTGTTCACATTGTTAAGTGGGCTTTCAGTATGAGCCTACATGACTTTCAATGATGACGTGATTTAAAAATTTATGATTTAGCAAATTTCCTTGGACCTTATCAACACCTTATTTTGGCTGCTTATGACAACTAGGAAAAAGTAACTTCTAGCCTTGAGTACAAATCTAAAAATTAATTTATTGATTGAATTCAATTGAAAAAAAATCATAACGCATATTGAATAGAAATCGCCTGTTCTTCACATTTGGCATGTAACTTGTCAGTTGAACTGATTTAGATTTTTTTTATTCTTCCTTCCCTTTTTATCTTGACTCCCTTCTTTTTTTACCATATTGAGTTTCAAAACCCAGCCCAACCCTCGTACCTTAATCTGTAGAGTATAATTTGTGGACAAAATCCTTCTGGGTTAGAGAGTGATTAGTTACGAATTAAAGTGCAAAAAGTGCAGTGAGATGCAGGTGTCTAGCTTACCTAATGATATTGAAGGAAATCTTCGTGGTAGCTGATAGGCACCACCAACTGTGCACTCATCTGTACCTTTACAGTTTTTCAGATGGTGAAGAGTCCCGCGGAGCCAAGATTTCTCCAGTCCATTTAATAAATTTATTCGATTCGTTTGCTCAAATGGATCTGCAAAAATAAGGTATTTTTAGAGAATCTAAAAGCAAACCCAAAAATTGAGTGCAACAACTTCTTTATATTCGAAATCCAAAAATTAATTGATGAGTAACTAAATGCAATCTTCTCTTTGAGGTCATCCTTCGTTAGGTTCCGAAGGGTGCATAAATTCTTTGGAATATTTTGTTAAGAGTTACAATCCACACATTCATGAATTCTTCTTTTAGAAAATGCATTTTGGTCTTGTGATGTGTGATGGGAATACCTACTCAGGAAATGTGTCCATGGTTGCATCTCTAATTGGTCATGGCCAATGTAAACGAACAGCATATCTCTTTAAGAGAAAATTATGCTTGAGTGACCTTCCTCCGTCTACTTTAAGACTCTAGTTTCATTCTAAAAATTAGCACAAAACTGCAAAATCGTCATCTTCCTCGAAAGTGGTTCCTCGAAGTTCCTCCATCTTCCTGTGAAAGAATAAATTGACAACCCCTCCCCCCAGAATGTACATGTACGTGAGCAGACCCCCCTCGGAGATTTTGCTCTTGTATTGTCCATCAACACCTGTTCGCACTGTTTATAATCTGTTGAGAGGAGGTAATCTGCATTTTCTTTGAATAGCAAGCAAAACATTTGATAACTCACCTAGTTTCAGATTGTAAAATGTTACAAATCCGGTCACAAATTCGCAGTAAAGGAAGTTATGGGTGGAATTGATAGTCCTCAGACAGGAGTATGTATTGTTGTTAGCATTCATGCAAAAGCAGAAGGGACCATCTGAAACGAAAGAAATTATTTCAATTCTTGGAAAAACTTAACACTTTTACAAAATAGAGATGCCTTTGGTAATGTAGCAATTTTCCTGCTATCAGGGGATTTTTCAAAATCTTGGTTATTGGGCTCTGTCTTTTTGTTTTGTTACTTGCACCAAATTTTGAGTCAAGTTCTTTGTAATTCCATTTTCATATATTTGCATTGCGATTATTAAGTTTCAATATTTCATCGAAGAATCCCAAATATTTTAAGAAAAATTTATGAAGAATAAGTTTCTACCCTCTTGAAACACTACTTTTCAGCAAAGTACTTCAGAAGTAAAGAATGCGTAAGAGTTTGAAATGAAAACTAAACCTGAGCTTAAGTAATTTTTAGTGCATCACTTTAACTGATCTGCCATAAAATTTAATGCTACAACCCCTATGTCTTTGCAATGTCTACTCACTTGATGACTATCCAAACAGCATACAAAAATATTTATGGACTAGGCATATTTTTAGGGGGGCAAAAATCTTACTTGTCCAGTATGGAGGTGTCCTCCAATGCTCATTATCATGATTGAAACAGTTCATTCTTTCGGAGCCGCAGCCTTGTTCTTGCTTAGCTTTCCGCCTGGCTTTCCGCTCTTTCTTCCGCAGCTTTTCTTCTATCAATTTCCTGCGTGCATTCTGTTCAGAGGCTTTGTTGTCAATCCCGTTTGAGCTTTAAAAAATGATTAAAACACAATTAAAACAAAATTGACAACGGATACAATCATAAGTGTCTTGGTAGGAAAAATGCATCTCCTACCAAACTGATCAGAAAAATAAGGAATTTATTTACACAAACTGAGTTTATTTAGGTATTTTCATTTAAAAATACTATGCTGGAGGTTTGACAAATTACAACCGTCTTGGGGTCCACATTAATAACATTATTTGTTTCAAAACATGAACTTAAGAAAAAAATTAGCAGATTGGTGCACTTGGAAATCCTACAGACAATTAACTCAATTAAAAAAAAATCATTGGGAAAAAAATTCCCTCCAAAAAAAAATCAGAGTTGTCTCTGGTGTCCTTCGAATATGTAAAATATTGACGCACAAACTTGATTTTGCCTGCATTCAGAGAAATAACTCAAATTGAAAATTTTTGATTGATACAATGAAGCTCATCTATGGCTCACCGAAATCTGACCCGTGAAATTTTTAAAAAATTGAAAAATTCAATTATAAAGAACGGCAAAGTCTCCGATTAAAGTGCTGAATTTTTAGGGAAAAATTATAAAATTTCTAGCATAAACTTACAGGTCTGGTTCACAGTAGCAGGTATCTGGCAGGAGGGGGCTGGAGGCTTTATTGTCAGAGGCGTGGCTTAATACAGGCTCCAGAATGGTTACATCGATACCTCCTGGTCTCACAATGTAGTGAGTCTGTAGGAAAAATGACACAAAAAACGATGATTGATTATCAACTAGCTGAAAGCTTCTCTCTTAACGGTAAATATAATTCTCAGGCTTCTTAAAGATACATTTCAATAAATGCTTCCACTCCAATACATTAAGGTGATAAGAAACATTTCAGAGAAATTTGAGGTATTCGTGTTTTAGGGCAAAACTTGTTTCGATGTAAACTTTGCAATAAAAAAAAATTGAAAAACTCAACTGTCAGTTCTACGACATTAATTTAAACCCTTCATGAGTCATACACAAGATTTTGATCTGACTTCAACACTTCGGACCTTTTTCTTCAAATTATAAAAAAAAAATCGTTTCACCAGCTCCGAGCTTAAAAAAATAATACAATTTTGTTGCGATTTGGTGTTCAACTACACACATACAATCAGAAGGAAATTAAGCTTCAAACCAAGTGGGACATGAATATTAATACCTAATGTTGTTATGGAGGTTACTTTTAGCTAAAGGAAAAATAAGATTTCTTGTAAAGTATCACCTTTTCTCTTTTACTGGAGGGACTGGTTGCTTGGTTTGCAGGATACGGAGTAGTGGCTGATAGCAATGATGAGTCTGTGATATTCGTAGCAGCTAGAATTGTTGCAAGTGTGGTAAGCAAACTTTCAGATGTAGCAACTTGGTTTGTGGTCGTGGATGGTTGCTCATCGAATACTTTTTGTTGGTGGTGATGCCGATGTCGATTAGACTCGAATAACTTATCATTTGGTGTTTCCGTGATTGGATCAGTAGCACTGTCTCTGGTGACATTAGTTGAAAATTTTGATCCCATGGGATTTAGGTTTAATTTTTCTCCATGCATGTTATCCTCTGCATCATCTAAAGCCACAAGCGGTGGTTTGTTTTTTTGAAGGTGGTGTCGAATGTCCTGCAAAAAGTGACAAGTTATTACTAAAAGTTAGTTGTTGGCAGCTAGTACTGAAATATTATTTTTTGTAAAAATAATCAAAATTATTTTGGCAGAGTCTTAACCTATGACTTTAAGATTGTTTTGACAAACTTTTGACCATTCACTTTAAAATTAAAAACAGAGAGAATATTTTTTTTCAATGGTTAGAATATTCTCATTTTTTAGAATGTTGAATCGATGAGGGAAAATTTAAACTAATGTACCTAAATTTTCTCTTGGACAATAAGGAGTAATAATTAATTTTTATGTACAAACCTTTAACTTTTCCAAATGCATCCTCAGTTTTCGAATTTGCCGATCAACCTTCTTTCGGTTCATCCTCCATATTTTAGGGTTTTGATAGATTTGCTGAGCGCAATGTACTTCACCTCTCTCCGTGACATTACAGCTTAAACTGCTAGACAATTTTTCACTAGATGGCTGGAAAACAAAAATATTGGTAAAGTTATATCAAATGTACAGTAAAACAAAAATATCACTTTAAGTAAATACTGGACAAATAATTCATCATGCATGGGTAGAAAGTAAAGCTACTAAATGACACAAAACTATATTCAAAATTAATTTTTGAAAAACAAGTAGAATTGCATCTTTCTGCTTATTAATAAAGTCTGCTTTCAATAAAAAAAAAAAAAAAATAAAAAAAAGAGGTGGAATTTATGGATTCTCCAAAGAATTATAATTTAATTTCTTCGAAAAGGACACAGAGAAGATTTCTTTGAAAATTTTTCAAGCCTTAACTCACCTGGAGACCAGAAATTTTATCTTCGATAACATTCATAATTGATGAAATGTGGCTGTCAACAGTTGCAGCGTCTCGTTTGCTTCTTGATAAACCCCAATGATCAGCTAAATCGTGAGCAGTGGTTTCTGGTTTTGATTGCACACCATTGATGAACTTTGGCCGAAAATCTTTGCTAACATGACTCCTGATGTTTAAATAAAATAGAGTAGAATCAGATCAAAGTTGCAGTATTCAAAATTTTAAACTTGCTGAAAAAGGTCTATATTCCATGGAAAAGGGCAATTTTAAATAGATCTTTAAGAATCACTCGCTTTAGGGATCTAAGCCATGAATTACAAGTTGTACCAAGTTCAAGTATTCAAAAAAAAATATATATTTCTTGTGACAAGACATGTTGAGAATGCTTGTATTTTTCCTTCTCAAATAATTATCAGGTTTTTCTCTGATTTTCAGCCCTATGACAGACATTTCCTTCCTATTAGAGTAAGGAAAAAACGAACAAAAACTACATAAAATGCAGGATTACAACCTGTCTGTTATAAAAGTTAACTTTATCAACTCTGGTTCACAAGGAATAATTAAAACATTTCATTTAAAGTTACCTCAAAAAGTCTCTTTGCATACGCCTTTCGTCTGGTTCAAGGCGGGTGTACATATGTCCATTGGGTGTGAAGCAAGCGCACTTTCTGGCAGGAGAGAAAGAGTAGAGTCCTAGTACCTGATCCTGTCCAAGACCATGTCCAGAGGCTGGCCGAGCCCGGTTTTTGCACTTGTGTTTACGCCACCGATTTTTTTCAAGAACGCAATGCCACTTTTGGCCTGGCTGACAAGGACTCCTCAGTTCTGGCTGTGCACACTCTAAAGCCAGCTTTTCTGCTTTGCTCAGTGCTCCATGTCCAACTGGCATCAATCGGTTGTCTGGCAGTAGATCTGGTGTTGCTTCGCTGGCAGCACCACCTTGATTAAAGTAATATGAAGTAAACTTTCATGAAATATCAGGATAGGTTGAGAGATAATGCATCATTTGTGCAAAAAAATCGAGAATATCCTACTATGCTTACTATAGAATGACGCTCTGATCCGCTACATTGCCACAAAAGGTTAAAATGTCATCCACTTAGGACCTAAATAATTTTACAATACAAAAAAGCAAAAGCTTGTTTGAAAAGAACTGCTTGAAGGCTTCAAAAAAACTGTAATCCTTTTTTCATACATACTTATCAATGGCGTAAGTCCGCAATCACACATTTCATTTGCCACGTCTGAAAATCTCCGCCCCTATGTCATTTTTTTAAAGGAGAACAAATTGAAATCATTCATTGAAGTTTATGCAGAATTTTCTTCTCACAGAGAAGAAAGATCACGGCAGTCTGAAAGATTTTCATTGAGTAGTATTCTGTTTAAAAAATAGAGTATGACAGGACGTCTGCGACATCGCGAACCGAGTTATGTGATTGCCGAATTACACCGTCGTTATGCTCTATGATTACATTCATACTAAAAAATTGAGTGAGGACATCAAATAAGCTCGCAAGACGAATTTTCTTTGCCACCCACTGGCTAAGATTCACTGCTAGAGCAATAGACGGATGGATAGAAGACATGGTAAGTACAGATGGAAAACTCACTGAGAGTGTCCTTTTCAGGTGTCATTTCATCGTCATCATCATCATCCTCAGGTCCGGTCTCTTCACCTCCATCTTCTTCTTCGTTGTCTCCATTCGGCCTCAGCTTTGATTCATCAGCATCCCCCACATAGACTCCATCTTCAGAGGAACCTGAGGTGAAAAAAAAAATCATTAATTTATCAATTACCTGCTACACAGCAAGTCTACAGAAAAAGGATGCTGCTTCGTGTCTGAGTCTAATGTCTTAGGTACTTAAGTTATGAGGAAAAATGTAAGGGTAATATATTTGTCTATCATCCCAAATTAGGTATTGAGCAGTTAATCAGTAAGGGTTTAACAGAAAACAAGCAAAAAATTAACAAATTTAGAAGTAAAAATGAAAAAAAAAAAATAAACAAATAAAAAAGACCTGAAAACAATGTCACTTACATTTTGTAGCTTGCAATAAGGAATTCAAAATTCCCCCTTTACAGTTTCTCGTTTTTCATGTTAGCGATTCATTTTCTATCTTGCTGAACACTTTAACAATATTGAAAGGAATTAAATATAGGTACCAAATGAATTCTTACATTCAGAATAAATGGCGGTATCACATGAGATTTGGCTACCCCATATTTCTATTTTTAAAGTATACCAATAACTGTTCAAGCTCATTAGAAACAAATTGGTCCCATGGAAAATAAATTAAGATTGCTATAGGTACTCACTCAATAAGGAGGTGAAAGATGGTGCATCAGCCGCAGAGGTTTCGTTCAGTTGATTGTGCCTCCTCCTAAACTTCAGTAGTTTCAGTGGGTCTGATGGTTCTCGCCTGCCACTACTGCAAATCCAACAAAGCCCATTTTTAGTAAAAGTAAAATAGGTACTTAAATTACAACTGTAGTGAGTTCAGGGTTAAAACCTTCCATGTGTTACGACCTCAAAAGTTTATTACAACTTAATTTGGATACAAAAGATTTATTTGACAGTAAAATGCCTATGCCCGTACGCACGGCCAGCTATGGCATGATTATGAGGGGGAAATTACACTACAGTTGATCGATGAACAAGATCTTTGCATAGCTAATCAGAACTTCACATTTGAAGGAGTAAGTAACCATTAAACATAGTTGCCGACAAATTCTGTTCTTCAGATGTTTGCTAAAATTTAAAAGAAGATATGACAATCTTAACACCCTTGATTTTACAAATTGTTAAAGTAGAATCCATGAACAATGATGAAAAACTTTGGCATATCTGCACTTCAACACTTGAAAAAGTAGGTACTTACTAAACCCTAAACCCTAAACCCTAAACCCTAAACCCTAAACATATCAACACATTCTATATTTATCAGATGTTTGCAAAGGACCGTAATGAAGATATAACGACTTTAAAATCCTTGCTACTCGTAAATCTAATGTAAAACAAAATTAGGAATAACATGTAAATAAAATTAAGCCGTAAAAGTAAAAAAGGGCGGACAGATTCACTGATTTTTAGCTTTGTTTACAAAACTTAACCATGTGACATGTGCTGGCTTGCCCGCCACTCCGCCATATTGGATTGCAATTCATGAATGAAACATTCCAAACAAAACGGACCAATGAGAGGCCAAGGATTCGTCATCGTACTCATCATAGTACTACGTGTAGTATTTTGTAGTGAGTGTTGCCAGTTCGAGTGAACAAATGAAGATAACAGCTTTCTTGGCCGTTAGACATGGTAATGATAATGTACCCGAGATCCCCGTAGAATTTTGCAGTTTCTCATGCAACGCCAACGAACTAATCGACAAATCCCCTCGAAAAAGACAGTTTTTCGTCGAAATCTGAAAAATCAGTTTTTTTTTTACTCCACTCGACGAAGTAGTTTCAATTTTAAAGCGGGTTATTCAAAATCGGCGATTTTGCCCTACTCTTGGATTTTGCCCGGAGTTGGATATGTTGTTCCCTATCACAAGACACGCCTTTTTCCGGCATTGGCAAGTTCACCCGAAATTTTTCCCGCGCGCTACAGCGTTGCCAAGTTGAAAACAGGCAAATTCCGTAAGTGGCATTAAAATTGAGCTATGAAGTTGCGGTTTTAACGAAAATTCTCTAAAAATTGCGCACTTTTAGGAAATGACCATGTTTTAAATGTCGCATTAAGTTTAACATGCATTGTTGCCAATTTTTCGATTTTTAAATTCGACAAATTTTACAAATCCGCAAATACCCAAAAAAGCTATCTTCAAATTTGAATTAAAAGTTGTCTAGTCGATAGTTTGTTCGATTCCGCATCCATCGATGTATTATAGCAAGCAGGAAAACTTTTGGTTCGCGAGATATCATCATTTTTGTAAACAGTTTTATGGAGCGACGACGCTTTTTAAGTCTCGGCAGATAGAAATTTTAGCCTCCAAATACACCGGGTAGCATTAATTCAATGGTTTTCTATGTAATTTTTGGTGCTGAATCCGAATTTGACCATTTCATAAAGAAATTGTCACCTTGAAGTTGCCAAATTTGGCAAAAATGGCTTAAAATCGGCTTTTTTGGCGGATTATGGTCAGTGACTTGCCAGGAGTTGATCAGACGACAAAATTGGTTATTTCCACAGTTAAAACTCGTTAAACTTTCTACAAGCTGAGTCAAATTCTTTCTGCTCGCGGCAAAATTAAACGCGCGACAAGCAGCAAACTGAAAAAAAGACACCAAAATTGGCGCTTTTTGAATTCAAAAGACACTGTCTATTTGAAATTGTTCACTGGTAAAGACGCGAAGAGAACAGCGGAGACGCTCACCACGATGGCTTTCCGTCAATTCAAATTCCGCGCGCTCCAATTTGTGTTTTCCCGCTACTGCGCGCGGCAGGTGCGCGATGGGCTTGGCGCGAAAACTGCGTGACGCTCGCACAGTAGGGAGGGTGCAATAAAAACTACGATTAGGAAATTATGAATATATGATCATTTAATGATTTTGGCCTATCAAATGATGAAATTACGCTAACTCCGTATTTTATAATGAGCTGCGAATACATTTCTAGAGCAAGAAACTGATGAAAAATGAATTTACCTTTCGATGAGGAATGTGTCAGGCCACTTCATGATGACTTTGCGGTTCACTTTGCGTCGTTTATTACCAAGAAGTCTGAGAATAGAGCGACCATCCATGTGTGGAGGAGGCTCTATACCAGCCATATCTAGAAAAGTGGGAGCCAAGTCGATATTCAGGACTATCTCGTCGATCCTACAGGAATAAAACAAAAAATAGAGGTAAAAAAACAAATAATTGTTTCTTAGCTGCAGATCTTTAAAAATTATTTGCAAAAATCTTTGAATTATAATTAAATATTTGTTTCAAAGTGTTGGTGGTGTGTTTTTTCCGAGTGATGGAAAACGCTTGCAGATTCCTCTTGCGTAATATCAGATTTTTCCCAAAATTCAGCAACTCAGTTCGATCATACCGGAATAAATTTCGATAATAGAAGTCCATTTAATCAAGGAATAAACAACATATGTAACACACGAGCACAATAGCAATGATTCTGCGATTAATGGCAATCTGTGCAACTTAGGTGCTAAGATGGACATTTTAGAGGCGCAATTTGCGATTCCACTGCCTTTACCATTCTTGGTCCCTCGGTACGTATGAGAGATTGAGTAAAAAAAAGGGGGGGAAAAAGAAGAAAAGGGAATTGACGTGCGACGGTCCGAGCGGGGCCCGTCAATGGAATAATTCACGATGAATTATACATCCCGTCCCATTTCGTCGTGCTGAGGAAGAGCGCCGCATGAAAATTCAAGAGTCGCCAAATTTTTCCCGACAAAATATTACTTTTTGAGGAAGTTATGAATAGTTTTCCTTGAGATTTTAATATATTTTAGCTCAAATTGCGAACAGAATTGTCTGAAAAATTGGAGGGAAAATATTCACAACTTTCCCAGTAAATTTTTAATTTAACAAGGGAACTTTGGCAACGTTCGAAGGCTCATACGTCATTCTTCCTGAGCACGGCAGCATCAGTGGCGTGGCGTGAATGAATGATCGATCATCGATATTTCCCCATTTGAAAGCGTAGTAAAGAATCGATTAAGCTGTTCGCTGCGAACACCCTGTTAATCGATCCTTTTCCATAGGTTTGAATTGCATAACAATCGATATATCGCACAGCACCCCACGCCACTCCACTGGGCAGCATTGACTCTTAAGCAAATGGCTGCCCCATGGGGACGGGGGTGGGGGCACTAATCCCAAATCCGCGAACCAAAGCGGCTTCTATCCGTTGATCGGGGTCCTCGGGGTGGGCCCCGCTTTGCGAGGCAGGCGCCCGGATTTTGCCAACCGGGAGAGGAGGTGGGGGAGGGGGGACGGTGCATCGATGGATAGGTATCGAAAGCGGGCCCCCTTCGGCCCTGCGGGGGTTTTTCTTCTCGCTGGCGTTGGCGCATTCTTCGTATGTCACCGGTGCAGGTGGTCTGCGCCCCCCCCCTCTCTTTCTCCCCCTACGTCCCCTTGGCCTTTGGAGTGACCATCTCGGTGCTGCCATTTTAACCAACTTCCAGACGCGACGGACATTTTGACTTCGTGATCGTCTAGTGGTCCACTGCCGTGCTAAGGAAAAACGCCGTATGAACATTCGAGAGTTGCCAAATTTACTTCGATAATATTTTTGTTTCTTATGAAAGTTGTGAATATTTTTCCTATAAATTTTCAGAATTAATTGGTGACATTGCGAACAAAATTATCTGAGAAATTGGGAGGAAAATATCCGTAAGTTTACCAGAAAATACGCGTTTTATAAAAGGAAATTTGGCAACGTCTGAATGTCCATACGGTGTTTTTCCTCAGTACGGCAGTACAGTCCCTTTTCCCTTCTTCGCTAGAAAAAATTCTGCAAAGTGAATGGTACCTCTGAAAAGTTTCGAACAAATTTTCTCTTCATCGTTTCTTTGAAAAAGATAAGGTTCACTCATTTTGCACCGATAATTGTGTAGCCCTAAGTAATCATCGAAATGCACACACAGCCTCTTACTAGTATATCTGAGGGGCTTGGAGGACAAGGCGCATGAGTGCAGTTTTTGAAAAATTGAGATAATAATAATTTCAAGTAAAACTAGACTTAATGCAAATTCTATGAAATATTCGCTTCCACATTCCAATTTTTAAGCATCGAAAAGTAAGTTTGGAGTTTCTTTCCGTCATACGGATCCATGTAATTTCGAAACTTCAAACACGTATTTCTAGAAATAGCAAAAACTGCACTTATGCGCCTTGTCCTCCAAGCGCCACATCTGACCTGTCGAAACCCTAATTGTGATGTTATTGAAGGCTAAGTTAAGACTTTCGTCACAGTGAGGAACTTTTTCAAATAAAAGTACCTACCAGAAGCAAAGTAGCCGTCTATTTGCCTCCTTGTATGACAAGTGACCTCAGAGGTCGATTTGTACTTTCTCCTTTTATCATTTTTTCTCATAAATTGACCAGCTTTCCATTTTTCTCAAACCTGGATTCGCGAGTTAGGGTTAATATGCGTAGCCACTGGTTCACTAAGCATTCATATTTATGACTGTGCCTTAGTAAAATTGCATTAGTCTCTTCGTAAGAGATGAAACCGACAAGAAGTTGTTTGTTTCCAAAACGTGATTAAAAAAAAAAAAAAAAAAAAAAAAAAAAAAAAAAAAAAAACCATATGGTTTTGGCATCCCGAAATAAAGGCTGCAATTGTAGCAGAATCGATTACATTTACCAAAGTAATCAATGCCACAATTAGAATTTTTACAACGTTCCTCGGACATTATTGCCTCAAGTTTAGGGTATCTTTATCTCAAAAATGTTCAACGTTCTCACAAGGTAAATAGCCACTTCCTTCAATCCAACTTTTAAAGGCAGGCCAACCAAAATTAAAAAAATCGTCACAGTCCAAAACGAGTCTTACGCGTCGAATCTATGTTGATTAGGCGTTGTATTCTCTTTTTCAGGATTTGCGTTGGGGGGGGGGGGGGGTATACTATATGGTTATACTTAGAATCATGGGGAACGAAGCTAAAGTTGACGGACACAACTCGACAACGAAGCAGACCATAGTTGCATACACCGTACATGCGCTGCACGGCTCCCTTATCTGAAACCAGGTTTGACCAGCAACTTCCATCAGCTCCTGACATCCCCTCCCTCCCCTGGGCCCGAATCGATATCCAGAACCGATTTCATTCCATACTTTGACGCCAAAACGTAAGCACGAAGATAGGAAATTAGTCGAAAACAATCGATAGTAATCGATCCGCATGTATCGATTTGACGTGTTGCGATTCTTGCTACTAAACATTGAAAAATTTTGAAGTCAGAAAGGTGTGTTACACTCAACCGCACAAGACGATATTTCAGAGTGCTTTTCGTCGACTGCGCCTCAAAAACGGACCTGCGGACCTCAGTATCGGAGATTCGTTTTCGGGATGGAAAATTCCTCTCATTTAGTTTCGTATTTAGCAGCAGATGTTTTTATCGTAATCTGTCAGTTTTTAAAAAGTGAACGAGCCATTTTGAATAACATTATTTAAGAGAGGAACTACATCCGAGAACATTCACGCATTACTTTTTTCAAGTCTCTCCTGAGTTTTTTTTCTTTTTCTAATAGTCTCTTCTCTGACGATTGCAATGCTGTGTATGAAAAAAATCAGAGGATCCCCATCATTTAAAAAAATTGGACTACTCACGACAAATGCTAATAGTTTTTCTAGCAACCACATAAATTTCACTTAAGATATTCATGCAATAGATCATGCTTGTTCGTGCGCGCAGAAAGAAAAATAAGTTGCCTGAGAGTTGCTGTAGGCCCACAACCGTAATACCTGCTAATCTACGCTAGTTAAACTGTTGATAAGGTTTTTAATTGATGCAACTATTCAGCCTCTGAGGCTACGCTAGGAAGTATCTTTTCACAATGAAGGCGTTTCTCATGCGTCGTGACTCCTCATTAAATAATTATCTCAAGCAATCGCATTTTCATTAATTTACGCTGCCTCACTGTTGATCGGGTTTTTGATTGATGTAACTATTCGGCCTCTGAAGTCACGCTAGGAAGTATCTTTCAAGATGAAGGCGTTTCTTATGCCTCGTCACTTATTCTCATCAAATGATAATCTCAAGCAACCACATTACTTGCTAATCTACACTGGACGTTCAGTGGTAGCACCACTGACAATTGCATTTCTACGGTTTCGTGACTATGCGAAGACGATTCAATCCTCAAAATGCTGCAGATACGCCACAATTAGAAAATTCCGTCTGAATTGAGGAGGACTTTTGACTTACGTTGTGCCCGCATCAACTCCAGGGCCTCTGACCAGGAACGGAACGCGAACATCAAACTCGAAGGGAAATGACTTGCCCTTGATCAATCCGAACTGCCCCAAATGGTAGCCATGATCCGAGGTGTAGATGAAGTATGTGTTGTCAAGTTCTCCCAGATCTTTCACCTCTTGATATACCTGAAAATTATAACAGACGAAATTAGCGGTGTGCTTGAATCGCTTCATGACGAAATTAGCTTGGCCGGCAAATGTCGGGCGTACCTAAGGAGATGGAGATGGCTGAGGCACATTGAAAAAAAATTCTCGGCGTTTTTACTGCGGCGGTACCTTTACTATCTCAATTTGTTTACCAATTATTGGTAATTTAATCAAGACAGACTGGTAAGCTTACCGAAAAACCGGTATTTTTACTGTTTTTTTTTTCAGGTAAGAATACCACTTTTATTGGTAATCAATTCCCGGTAACTTTGCCATTTTATCTCGGTAATTCTACCACAGTTGATAAAAAATACTGGCGTTTTTACCGAGGTCCAGTAAAATTACCGAGAAAGTTCAATGATTTTACCGAGATTTCTCGGAAAATTACCAATTCCATAAATGGTAATTTTAATAAGAAAAAACTGGGATCGAATAGAACCCTGAATTCTTGGTAATTTTACCCTTTTCTTGGTAAATACACCGAGATTTTCCTTTCAGTGTAGGGCCGAAGGTAGCTTGTCTCTCACAAAAAACTAATGGGGCTTTGGCAGGACAGGGGTCAGTCTCTGGCAGTTTGCGCAAACCGCCGGATTTGGTCACAATTCGTTAAGTGAATGGAATTCAGAGGAAAAACATTTGGGAAATAAAGGAATAGATAAAAATATGCGGTTCATCGGAATTATTCTGAAAATTCCTGAAAAATTAGGAGCTATACGCACCCTCTCTACAGCTGCGTCGACGCTCTGGAGGGTTTGAAGTCTCTTGGTCATGAGCAGGTTTGTGAACTGCCGATGGATTGGCTTCATTTTTCCCGTCACTTGGAGAATCCATTGTTTATCTGGATTCGGTGCGTAGTCATATGATGGAGTGCTGTAACAAAAAAAGAAACCTCTCTTTAACATTGTTTTTGGACTCAACTGAGTATGTTAATCAACAGTTATTCCTAATAAAAATCGGGGACGGGTTGGCCATTTAGGAATTTGAACCTACCTAGCTTAAAATTGCTTCTGAGACGACTCAATTTTCCGTCCGTCTTGGAGTCCCCTGGAACCTTTAGAACGCCTTAGAACCCTTAAAACCCTCCAGAGCCCCCTAGAACACTAAAAAACCCCTAGAGCCCCCTAGAGCCCTCTAGAGCTCCCTAGAACCCCCTAGAATCCCCTAGAACCCCCTAGAACACCCTGGAGCCCCTAGAACCCCCGTTGGAGCTAAGAAAAGCTCTTGGACCCTCTTTTGGAGCTGAGGGGGTCCTCTCGACCTCATTGGTGGAATATCTTTTTCTGCATCCTCCCATGATTTTCTGCACCCTTCATGATCCTTCAATGGGATCCCTCTCCCTAAGAAAAGTTCCTGGTTCCGCTCATGCCCTCTGGCCCTCTGCCCTTCCCTTCTTTTTCATCCGTGCGTGTTCAGCACGGCGCCACAACACAAGGTCGACGACCATCCTCGTCATGTTCTCGGCTCCCGTCGACAGATACGTGTTTTTTCGACCTCTCCTGAAAAGCGCGTCAACGGCGAAATCCAAAATCGCGATACCTTAAAGTCGCGCGACGGTCGTAGGGTTGTCGGTTGGACGCGGGAGATGAGAAAAACGACCCGCGCTCGTGGCTGGAGGGCGCGGAATCCGGCGTCGCGTCGCCGGGATCCGAGCACGTTCCGCGCGGCGCGGCGTCAGTTCACGGAATGGGACGAGACGGCCGTGGATGAAGTCATGCCCGACGCGACGCCTGACCCGCGGAATACGTCAAATTTTTGCGCCGGTCTCGTCGTGGAGCTTTCGGCGCCTCTAGATGAACTTGTCTGCTGGTTAGTATGCGACTGGATTCGAGAAAAGGCAATGGAAGCGTTTTTCGACGAGAGGTCCTACGCCTTTTGCGCGGAGAGTGCGTTTTCTGAATCTTTACCGTTTCACCTGCCCAAACATTAATAATTTGTAAGGAAGATGATTTGGACTGCATTTTGCAATTTGGAACCATAAATTCTGGCTCTTATGAAAAAACACTTTTGTGCATGGGGAAACTAATGGCACATACGTTGTTTTCAAACCGGGCGAGAATTTATAGTTCCATGATGCAAAATGTAGTCCATTTGATGACCGATGACCTGTGGGAGGACCGGGTTTTGTGGCGGTTAGGCGTCGCAGAGCTCAAGACAGTGCTGTGAGAGCGACTCTTATGTATGTAAGTAAGGAGGATGATTTAAGGTAAAACAAGAGTAAGAAAAGAAGCAAGTGTCTAGTATATTCAGCAGGCTGATTATTGACAGTGATAGACAAAAAAGACAAAGGGAAAATAGAGCGATCCTATTGGTTGAAACGGCGGATGGTTGTTATGGACTGAGGGGAAAAATGATGGACGAACTATGGGGTCTCGAAGGGCACAGCAGGTACTTTAAATTAGTATTTTACTTTTACTTACCTTCTTTGTCCATTTAAACCACCCGCTTCCACCCCACTATTTTCTCTTTGTCTAAAGCTTTGCTTAACAGTTTCAATAATCAGCCTACTGTGGAAAAACCTCTCGAGAGCCTACAGCGCGATTCCCAATTAGAGAGTCTTGATATACTCATTAAAAACAGACTCAACCGATCACCGAGAGAGCAAAGAAAATCGACGCGCCTTCAATTTTGTCGCATGCAGAAAGGGCATCAATCGAGCAGGAATAGTTGTATGTGCGCCTTAAATTCAATACGGTGCGTGTCCGTCGCAGACCTCGGAGAGACACCCCCCATTGCTATCACCGTTCTACATAATTCATGTGATGTTTTCACGATCTCATTTTATTGTTAATTTTCATATTCATGTCAACAACGACTATGAATTCCAATAACACAGGTAACTGGAATGTTACTTTTGAGCGAACACAGGTTTGAAAGTAAAATATGAAGCAACGGTTACCCAGTAAAATGCGAGACTAAAAAATTCATTATTCTTTAAACACCATGAAATTGCACTACATTATCTCATGCCAATTAATTCTTAAGCTTTAGATTGTTTACGGAACTGCCGGTGATATCCGCCGCACTTAGAATCGTCTGATATTGAAAGGGTGTCTAAAGCCCCTCTGAATCACACATGACCATACAGCAAATTGAAAAACAACTGTTACAGCTGTAAAGAGCGACTGATATATCGAGGGACTTAGCAAAGTACAACGCAACGCTTAAGCACGATCACTGAAATCGTATGAAGAGAGTTCGAACGCCTTCTATTAATTGCATATGCAACACGGACAACCGTCGAGCTGATATAGTTGTATCATTGAGTCGAATTGAGCGGGCGTAGAAATGTGGTTGAGATACGTAATACGACGGTGCAGCTAAAATTTCCATTAAATGAAAAATGAATGTTAAAAATGTCCAAACGGATGATCATTTGCCTTCCGCAATGTGCCTCAAAGTTTCCTCAAGAGATCGTCAAATTCATGTTAATGAAAAATGGCTCTATGAAGCCTAAAAACGTCACAACTTTACAGAAAATAGACAAAAGAGGAAGGTTTTTGAGCGGTCAAAAGTGGGTTTTTGAGCGAGACCGGTGATTTGATATTATTTTGGGGAGGGGAGGAGGGGGATAAGATAAAAACTGGACGATAGGGGAGGTTCAGCTTTCAGATCCTCCCCCGCCTCCTCTGCGGTTTTGTGCATGCGGCACAGAGAGAAACAGAAGAAAATAATTGCATTCAGGTCGAACGTCTGCGTATGTAAAGCGCGCCCGATTTGATCTATGATCACCATCTCGAATCTCGACTCGCTTGCCAAGTTTTCAAGAGAAACCAGTGAAAAAAAATTTGAGAAAAGTGGTTTTTTCACTCTATCAATGAAAAGCCAAAGATTCATACATCACAAAATATTTTTTACTGGTATGGGCGCTTAATGGATTAGCAACAAACAAAGATATTTGTGAAAACACTTAACCACGTCCTACTTGACCGAGATACGTTCTTTTAAAAAAATAAAAAAGCACGGTAGATAGTGCCATCAATCGCCAACATACTATGACATTCACGTAGATATCATCTGGGATGCTCGTTAAGCGACCAGCCCATAGTTAACACATCATGCATTGGTACGGGAATAGCCATGGACATTATGTTCTGCACGGATAGTGTCGCTTTCGGGAGATATTTCAAAGAACGGTTATATTTTGAACGTAGATATAAAATATTTGAACGACACTTTCATGATTTTTTTTCTCTTCTATCTTATGCGAAAGACTAAATTACCAGAATGCAATTCTGCGACAGATACAAACAGTCCCTCTATCTGGATCCCGAAGTTGGATTGTATTCCTTCACTACAGTATGAACACACTGACAAGGCATCAATCCTTTTTTTGGTCACGAACTTATAGGTAAAATTTTCCCCGGATCGGTGCACGAGAACTCCTCGAAAAAAACCTATCTACGCAACAGATCTCTACGTAGGTTTTCAACGACTCCGGGGCAGTTTCCTTCCCCACAGTCGCGGCATCTGGGAACCTCATTTGAATAAAATCGAGGGGGCACAGGAGGGGGGTTGCGCAGTCCACTTCATTCCGATCTCCGATACTGTCGCATTGTTGTCCCTCGCCGCTGAGTTGCGGCGCCTTTTTCGGTGTGCTCCCCCCTCCAGCTCCCCTGCCTCCCCCCTTAATCCCTTATGTTCCCGTGCCCACACCTCCGATCATGAAAGAATCGTATAAAGAGAGGTAAAGCAGCGGATGGACCGGAAAAAAACGCATACCTGGAATTTTAAAGTTGCATATTTGCCCTGTGATAGGAGAAGGGTTTATTACAAGGAAAAATAACGAGCAAAAAATATTAAGCGGCTGTTTTTTTGACCGCGATGGTTTTTCACTAAACTTAATCGGAACAGCAATATTAAACAAAATGGATTTTAAAGAGATTTTGCAAAAATTACGAACGAATGACTAAAAAATTTCAAAATAAAAAGACACCTGGTTGAAGGGGGCATCGATAGGTGACTTAGTCATGTCTCCTGGAGAATTTTGAAGGGCAGAATTTTTAGGGGAACACCAGAGCTTGCCGCCCCCGATGCCTCCAATAATTTCCGTGGTCTTCCCATCAGGTGTCATTCAGGAGCGTGACGTGCTTTGCGATATATCGATTGATCTGACATTTGAACCTATGGAAAGGATCGATAAACAGGGTGTTCGCAACGAACACATGAATAATCGATCTTTCACCATAGCTTCAAATGGAGAAATATCGATAATCGATCATTCACGCCTCGCCACTGGTGTCATTTTTTTCGGAAGTTTTTTAGTGTTTCAAGAGTGATTATGCTCTCTCTCGAAGAGGGAAAAATTTCAAATTTCCTGTTTTTCTGTTCAAAGAGGGGGCTGAGCCAAGCTAGCCTCCAGGAAAATTTTGAAAGAAAAAAAATTTATATTTTTTCGCTTTTGTGAGAGGGCATAGGGAAGTAGTCTGCCACCCACTACACATGACCCCTCCACAAAGAGTGAGTGCCTCCGGCCATGTGCCGTAACCACCCAAAATCCTCTACATATCAAATTACATTAAAAATGCGGCAAAAAGATACTTGAAAAACACATCAAGTAATGCAGGTATGAGATGGACCCAGGGCCTTGTTGAAATGATTTACAAGTGAATCATCACTTAAAAGGAACAGAACTGGCTCGCGACATTCCACTCCAGAGCGAACATCTTCATTCTGGCGGGCTCGTGCGTCGCGGGTTGTATCGAATGCCTCCAGCAGCACCTATCCTCAGCTAGGAAATAATCGCGATTCGATGGATCGAAAGGTAACAGGCTCAGCGTGACTCCGCCCACGGTTGCCAGATTGCACGAGATTCCTCCATTTGCGCACACGTGACGGAGTGCGGTTCGTTCGACTTGACAGCGGGGTCGAGC